AAGTGAGGATGTGGTCCCAGGGGAGGTGTTTGCCCTTCAATCTACAAATATGTGTGGTTTGGTATTACACACACACACACACACACACACACTGGTCCTGGGACTTGAACTCATGGCCTGAGCTCTGTCCCCCTAAGCTCTTTTGTTCAAGGTTAGTGATCTACCACTTCAGCCACAGATCCACTTCTGGCTTTTTGGTGGTTAATTGGAAATAAGAGTCTCATGAGCTTTCCTGCCCAGGCTGGCTTCAAGCTATTGATCCTCAGTCCTCAGCCTCCTGAGTAGCTAGGATTACAGGTGTAAGCCACCAGCACCAAGCCTGTGTTTGGCTACTTCTGAGACTATGTCTTCCACAATAACCTCCTATCACATACTATAGGGCAACTATCTCTTCTCTCTCTGTTGATATATCTTAGACTGATGGTTCAACAAATTGGCATTCCAATTTAGTTTAGAAAATAATTGGGAGTTTTGTAGTGTAGTTTCCAGACTTCATGAGATGCTAAAACCCAACAGACAACTGGCTTCAGAGTTCCCACATTTGCAAGGTCTTATATCCTATGGTCTGGACTACATTCTGTCTCTTACACACAGAAAAATAACATTGCAAGTCAAATATCCCCAGATCTAATTTGATTGTCAGGGAGGATTTGTTGTGGGATGATGGTAAAGCTATGGCTTGTTTTCTGTAATTGTTGCTTTTTGAGATATTATTTGCTTATTGAGATATACATTTCATATAGTAAAACATTTTCAAGCATATACTCTAATAAGGTTCACCACGTCAGACAGCCTTGTACCCACCTCTCAAATAAAAGTCCATCACACAGAGTTTCTAGGGTCCCTTCATAGCCAATCCTCTGGCCTAATCCTGAGCTCCGACAATTACTAACATGATTTCTTTTCCCATCACCTTGCCCTTTCTGGAACCTCCATAAATGGATGTCTCCTCTCCTGTATGTAACTATTTGTCTTGCTGCTTTTAAACTGTGTTGCCTAACTTCTTAGTGAAAGGCTTTGGTGATTAATTCATGTTGTATGGATGAGTACTTCATTCCTTCTCATTGCTGGGTAGTATTGTATTTGTGGATCTATTGCAGTTTATCAATTCACCAGTCAAAGAACATTTGGGTTGTTTCCAGCTTTGTTCTGAGTATATAACGCTGCTATAAAAATTAGTGTATAAGGTTATTTCCAGGGGACATCTGCCTCCCTTTCTCTTGAATAAATACATAGGAGTAGGCTTCCTGAATTTCACAGTAAGAAACCTTCACGTTCTACATTGTCACTGTGTCATTCTCATTAGCCATATATGGCGATTCTTGTTAGTTTTAGATCCTTGTCAACATTAGAAGTTGTCAGTTTCTTGATTGGATCCATTTTAACAATTCATAAACTTCTGATCTAGGCAGGGCCACGAATATAAACTTTCTGCCAGCTCTGTGTCCTTGGTGGAATAGTGTCTTTTCAAAAGTCACATGTATCTGGAGCCCCAGAATGTGGCCTGAGTTGGAACTCTTTGCATATAAGTTTTGATGAAGTCATATTGGTCTCAAGTGGGCCTTTAACCTTCATTCTAAGGTTCTAGAAAAAGATCACATGAAGCTACAGAGACACTCAGAGGAGACCGTCATGTGATGGAAAAACACCTGGAGCCCCCAGAACCTGGAAGAGATGCAGAAGGATTCTTCCAGCCTTGCCAACATCCTTCGCTCAGACGAGCCTCCAGAACTGTGGAACAGTAAGCTTCTATACTTGTAAGCCTCCCAATCTGCAGACATTTGTTATGGCAACTCCAGAAAACTAACAAGGTATGAATAAGATTTGTAGAGCACAACCACCTAAAAATACATATAAAGTTTTAACTTGACTTTTATAAAGCTGTCTGAGGATAAAAGTATGTGACTCACGCAAAATTGGTTCTACTAGGTACAAATATACCCTTAGAAGCCTAAATTACTGATACATATGAATGATTCTTGGAATAAGTCTTTGAATGTTCTATAATTCAACTTTTCACCCATTGGGCTGAACTTCAGCTGAGTTCAAATTAGTAAAAACCCACTAATCACCACAAATTCAGATCAGTTCAGAGCCCAGGGTCCCAGCCTATCTTACTTTTAACTATTGAATATGGCAGACTCACATTTTCGAGAAGGTTCTATGGAGATTCAGAGAGGGGCTTTCTCTTACGTTAGTAGAATACAATCTTAAAAGAATGTGTAGCTGGGCTCCCGTGGCTCTCACCTGTAATCCTAACTACTCAGGAGGCTGAGATCTGAGGATCTCAGTTCAAAGCCAGCCCAGGCAAGAAAGGCTGTGAAACTCTTATCTCCAATAAACCACCAGAAAACCGGAAGTGGCACTGTAGCTCAAGTGTACAGTGCTCACCTTGAGCAGAAGAGCTGAGGGACAGCGCTCAGGCCCAGAGTTTAAGCCCGACAAAAAGAAAAAAAAAAAGAATTTATAGCTGGGTATACGTGGATCACGTCCATAATCCCACCTACTCAGGAGGCTTCAGTCTGAGGATTATAGTTCAAAGCCAGCCCAGGCAAGAAAGTCCCCATGTAAATTTCAATGTCTAATTAACTATCGAGACCATATCAGTTTCAGTGACATAGACTCCTGCCTGGAGCTCATGTCTCATGGATCATCAATAGACATTTCCAATCATGCCTCTCTCTGGATTATTCCAACCAAATTTCCCCCTACCACCTGAGTTATACTTCGCATCCATCACACAGAGATCTTGGAGGGGTGTATTAAGCCTTCTCTGACAACACATTATTCATATTTCACAGCCTTTGCTAGTACTTACAACCATGGCTTCTATCAATGTGTACAGAGAAGGCAGGCTGCACTCTGAAGAGTCCTACAATATTCAATGACCCATGTACAAGACTGACCTGCTTTCACTCCTTCTGCTTTCTGATAAGCATATGTTGTTCTTTGCTTTGAGAGAACATAAAATCAGTCTATTTTGGGAAGACAAAGACTTAAAAGGTTGAATCACCTTGTTCCAAGTTTGAACAATTTGGTGCCTTTGGAACAACCTGTACAACTTCATCATCTTTAGATCTGGTTAAACATAGAAATCAGCCCCCCTCCAATCCTCATCCAACGTGCTAAAAGCCATAAACTCAAGATACTACAAACAGAAGGACATGGCCAAGTGCCCAAATGCCCCATGGGATGATAGGACCCAAGAAGCAGGTAGCAATGTTTGGAGCTAAGAAAGAAAAGGCTCTCACTGGGATCTTTGTCTCGTTTCATTACAAGATGTCGCTCACTGGGATGTCTGTGCATTTTACAGCTCCAAGACATCAGACAGGGGATATGAATTCCAGGCGGAAGGCCCATGCCACTGGAACTGATATGCTTTCACTAGTTAATTAGAGGTTGAAATTTACATCGGAGAAAACTAAGCAGATATCACTGTCCATTACAGGGTGAATCAGGAATGGGAATTCAGCAGATAGGCAAAGCCTTTCAAACTAGCTCAATGCTGTTTGTATACTTTACGATAAATGTAGTTGGTCACATTGGCAGCTTATACACTGGTCCAGACTTCTTCAAGCCTAAAAATATCATTAATTGCAAAAAAGTGAAAAATATTAATTACTAGAGTTTAGGAATAGAAAAAAACAGAATTACTAATAACCACAGATATGAAAGATTTCTGGAAAGAGATATCAGATTTTAGCTTTAATGTGTATTTGGAAACAAAGCTAGAAGCCATGCCCAAAGCCCATAGGAATCAGCAGCATACATTCAGTAATTCTCTCCAGAGGCAAATTAACATAATCCCAATTGGTTCAGATTGAGAATTTTCAGGTGTGACTGCTCAGTGTACTACCTAGATCCCTTGAGGCTTAAGTGGCAAAATCCTGGAACACTGGACTACAGAGTTCATTCAATTAATACATCATTTCAGATGCAAAGCACCAGAATATCCCTTCTTTACCGAGGAAAAAACAAACAGCAGTCCAAAAATCTCATCTACATCCTTGGATGTTCATGTATTCCCCAGAGCAAAGACTATGAGCAAAAATCGAAACTTGACAAGGTGGAAGGGAACTTGGGACATATCAAACAATGAAAGTAGCTTTGAACAAAACCTGACACATGCAAGTAATGCCAGCCCGGGTGAGGCAGTTTCAAGGTCAGCCTGAGCTTCCTAGTGAGACCCTGCCTCAAAGAATCTATACACCAGTATCAGTTCCCCCAGTGGAGAAGGTCATTTCTGCCACATCCTTCTTCCTCCCACTATAAGAATGTAAACCCCTTCTGGGTAAGCGTTATACAATTTGTGCTGGGGGGGGGGGGGGGTTGAACTCAGGGCCTGGGCACTGTCCCTGAGCTTTTTTGCTCAAAGCTAGCACTCGGCCACTTGAGCCACAGCTCCACTTCTGTGTGTTGGTTTGTTTGGTGGTTAGTTGGAGATAAGAGTCTCACCGACTTTCCTGCCAGCACTGGCTTCGAACTGTGGTCCTCAGCTGTCAGCCTCCTATGCAGCTGGGGTGACAGGCAGGAGGCACCTGCTGCCCTTGGGGCTGTTGCTCAGTGCTTTCATTGCTTCGCATTGGAGAGACACTTAATAAATCTTGCTGCTTGAATCAATGTGTAGAGTACAGGCACAAGAAACCCAGTTTTAGTAATACATCTCTGAGAAGCAGAAAACCAGTTCTTTGAAACAGATCTTGCAATTGAATTAAAAATAATACCGTAAACTGCTAAGTAAACCACTAACCCGAGGGCTCGCGAGAGGCCCGGGCCCGCGCTGGGCCTGCAGGTGGCCCCCAGGGCTCCAAACCCTCCGGCGCCCGCCCGCCCCCATTCCCGCTGATTGACGGGCGGCGCAGCCACTGCCAGCCTCCCGGCCTTCTGCTCGGCCCGCCCTCCTCGGCGACCCTCCCGCCGCAGCCAATGGGAGCGCGGGCGCCGGGCGCGGGAGCGACGCGGGTCAGGTGCCGTGCGCGGAGCTGCGCGCAGGTGAGCGACCGCGGGTTCGGGGCGCCCCCAGCTCCCGCCGTGAGCGCTCCCCGGTGCTCGCAGCAGGTGCGGGTTGGCGGGATCGCTGTCAGGGTAAGCGGCAAGGCGGGGCGGGAACGGGGGGGGAACCCCGCGCGGCTTCCCGGCGCCCCCCCCCCCCCAAGCCATCCCCGCACCTGGTCACGGCCCTGAGCGGCCCCGGAGCTCCCGCGGGCCCGAGGCCTGGGAAGTGGGGGCCACGCTGCCTAGGCCGCGCCCCCCCCCCCCACGGTGGCCGGGGTTCAGGTGGAGGAGTCGGGCGCTGCCTCCCAGGACCCCTCCCCGCCTAGGCCTGCGTCGCCCCGCCCGACCTCGGGGTGCGGGGCTGGGACGGGGGGGAGGGGGACGGGGGGGGGGCTGGACAGCAGCCCGGGCAAACCTGGGGAACCGGGACCCAGGTCTGGGGATTGCTGGGCTTCCCGCAGCCTCTGCGTGGAACAGAAAGAAACCCCTTCTCCCCCCCCCCCCACTCCCCCCACCCCACCCCTGCATCTAATTGCGGAGTGTCTTCTGTGCGGTAATGTGATTATTGGTGTGGTCGAGCATCTGCAACGTTTAGGCCGCACTGACTCAGGAAAACAGCTGTTTGGGGCTTCAATTCCTGAATTCATTAGGGGGAATGGAGGAAAATGGAGGAAAAATGAGATTTCCCTCCTCCCCTAGCCCTAAAGTAGTTGGGTAGATAATGGCTTTCTTTGTGTTAGGAAGTTGGGATGGGAAGAATGGGGGGGGGGGGGGAGGAAGAAGAGAGAGATAGAGAGCGCGAGAGCCTATTCGCCACCCTCAGCCACACGTGAATAAATACATTCGTATTGTCCCAATTTTTAACTTTAAAAAAAAATTGTGTGTGTGTGTGTGTACCTGCAGGGTTGATCATGCTGCGCCACTTGAGCCACAGCTCCATTTCAGGTGGCGCTAAGGTTTCACTGCCGTTTTCTCCCCAGGCAGGCTTCAAACCGTGATCCTCAGATCTCGGCCTCCTCCATCAGTAGCCAGGATTACAGGTGTGACCCATCAGAGCCCGGTGTATTGCAACTGTTTTGCTTACAGAATTGGAAAAAACCCAACATACATACACATATATATGTATATATGTTGAAATAGCTTTAAGTTATGAATCATTATCTTGAGACCAATACCTGAAACAATTTTAGTGTAAGTACTATCTAATTTTAGTGAAATCACAGTTAAAAACCTATGATTATTCATTCACACTGTCTTATGTTAGCTTTCTTGAATAGAATAAAAACTTTTTAGAAATACGTTTACATTTTTAAAATCCCCTACAACCTTGATCCAAAGAACTTGAATCCTTATCATTGATTGACAAGATTAACTTGGTTTATTGTAACATTAGGAAGGTTATTTGTCATTACTATTTGTAACTATTCCTGAAGCTAATTGTTCAGTGTACAGAAAGTTATGATTTGGTCAGTATTAATGCAAGAATACAAATTAAAGCCCACATTTGTATTTGAAAACCACAGTTTATTTCACTTTAAGAAACCAAGTTCAGTTCAAAACAATGCCTTTGACTATGACAGGCTAAATTATAGGGATTGTCTTTGAAAACTGAAGTGTGTGTATGTGCTGTTTTTCATTTTTTTCTTAGAAAATACCATTATTGGATTTGCTAGTGATACTTCCTTGTTAAATATCTATAGCTGTTGTAGCCATAATGATAAATACAGTTATAGGTATCTTTCAAAGTTGTATGCAGATGGTTTTTGAAATCCTGTTTTGAAATGCTGTTGGAGAAGTCATTTAAATAATTCCTTTGAAGAATATTTTAGTGGGTTCTTGGAAAGTCAGTTTTTGAAAATGCAACTAAAATTTCTTAGCTCTGTTACACTTGTAGGCTTAAGTCTCTTGTTTGATGAGAGCATTCTGCTAATTCTCCCAGGTTGTGAGTTATGATGTTGCTGGATATCACAAGCATTATCACTGTCAGTTTGAGGCAAAGAATACAAAATACCATCATCATCTTTTGTGTGTTCTACAGATTATTTTACGCTGGAACTGATCGAGTGTCTTGAAAATGACTTCAAAGCCTCTGGCTGTGTCCCTGGCACTTGCCACATTAACTCTTTCAACGACATTTTCTCTCCAGCCAGATCAGCATAAGGTTCTCCTCGTTTCCTTCGATGGATTCCGTTGGGATTACTTATATAAAGTTCCAACGCCCCATTTTCATTACATGATGAAGTCTGGTGTTCACGTGAAGCAAGTCAGTAATATTTTTATTACAAAGACCTACCCCAACCATTACACAATGGTCACTGGCCTCTTTGCAGAGAGTCATGGGATTGTTGCCAATGACATGTTTGACCCTATTCTGAACAAATCTTTCTCCTTGGATCACATGAATATTTATGATTCTGAGTTTTGGGAAGAAGCGACACCAATCTGGATCACAAATCAGAGGGCGGGGCATGCTACTGGTTCAGCCATGTGGCCTGGGACAGATGTGAAAATACACAAGAGCTTTGCCACTCACTACATGCCTTACAATGAGTCTGTTTCCTTTGAAGATAGAGTTGCCAAAATCATCGAATGGTTCACAGCAGAAAAGCCCATAAACCTGGGGCTTCTCTACTGGGAGGACCCAGATGACATGGGCCATCACTTGGGCCCTGACAGTCCACTCATGGGACCTGTGATTGCAGATATTGACGACAAGCTAGGGTATCTCATCCAGATGCTGAAAAAGGCAAAGCTGTGGAATGTCGTGAACCTGATTATCACGAGCGATCACGGAATGACCCAGTGTTCTGAGGATCGAGTCATAGAGCTTGACCAGTACCTGGATAAAGACCACTATACGCTGATTGACCAGTCTCCTGTAGCTGCCATCTTGCCAAAAGAAGGTAAGTCTGTCCTGGGTGCTGATCTGAAGCTAGATCAGGGCACTTTTCTTTCTATGACTTTAAAGTACACTTGGCTTGTGTCATGGTAGTGTCTTGGGATTTAAGAATTAAATAACAACAAAAACGTATTTTCTCAGGCTCTTAATTCTTTTTTTCCCCCTAGAATGTTAAAATTTATTCTTTCTGCATATTTTTCCCAGTAGGCTTTATTCATTTTGGAATTATAGAATATGATCAAAACTATGACTTGGCTGGGCAGAGAAGTTGAGATAGAGACAGGAAATTTGAATACAATTATTTTAGAGTTTTCCTTGGCAGTCCTGATGCCTTCATTAGGCCCTTAATTGCTTAAATAGGACAACAGTGGATTTATGGAAGAGAAAGAGCTTTTGTGCGCCTGAGATTAATTTCTTTTATTTATAAGTTGGGGGGAAATAATACCAATACTTCAAATAGACCTCTGATGGACTCCTCATACCAGCCTGCCACAATTCGTATTGGTTCCAATTTATTTATTTATTGCTGATTCTGAGACTTAAACTGAGGGTGTGGGTACCCTCCATTAGCTTATTTGCTCAAGGCTAGACCTCTGCCACTTGAGCCACAGCTCCATTGCTGGCTTTTTGTTGGTTAATTGCAGATAAGGGTCTCACAGATTTTTCTTCCTGGGTTGTTATCCTTGAATCTCAGCCTCATGAGTTGCTAGGATTATAGGTGTGGCCACCGGTGCCTTTTTTTGGCTCCACCTTAAAGATAGGTAAATGTTTAATACCCTGAGGTCACCAGAGAAGTGGCCAATGTGACTCTGGCTGTTCTTCAGAGTTCTATTTTATCACCTATGGAAGTTGTCTTAGATACCAAAGTAGAGAACAGATTTGTAAAAGCTGGAATATCTTACAAAGGAGAATCCTCTCCCTCATATGGGGAATAGGAGAATCATCTGAAATGGAGAAAGGTAAAAAATGCATGCGTGTGTGCCTACACACAAGTCTGTTATCTTGTTGAAAAATATCTGAGTAGCCCATCATTTGCCTTATATAACTAGACTTGTGGATTTTTTTTTCTTGATTACTGTAGTTTGAACTAGGGCTTTGCTAGGCAAGTCCTTTGCGCTTTAGATTATCTTTCAAATAGGATCTCATAGTTGTTAGTGATTGAGATAATATTTTTGCCTTCCTCTCTACACCTTCCAAGTAGCTGAAATTATAACCATGAGCCACCATGACTGGTCTGCAGTGGTGTTCTCAGTTTGAGGTGTTGGGTAGGGCTGATGGCCCAAACCCCAACAAATGATTAGAGAAACAAGCAAAGTGTTTAAAGACAGTCCCCAGGGGAAATACATTTACAATCCCAGGGAGTTCTTCTGCAGTGGCTCAGTCCTCAAATTGTTTTCTACCTCCAGGCCCCACCCTCTACTTACACATGTTTTATATCTGGAGATTCTATCTCTAAAATTGTAACTGCCAGCTATGTGACCTAGCTCTGTTTTTGTTTGGGTATTGCTGTAGTGCACCTAGTGTCACTAATTAGAACAAGCGCTGGCGTGTGTGTGTGTGTGTGTGTGTGTGTGTGTGTGTGTGTGTGTGTGTGTGTGTGTGTGTGTGTGTGTGTGCAGGTGCACCCATGTATGCGTGCACTTAGGTCTTGGAACTAGATAGCGGGTATGTCTGGCTCTAGAAAAGGCCTTTTCTTCATTCTGTAAGGTGAATTTATTTAAGGCTCAAGATTCTTTTCTCCGAGGGGGCGAGTTTTTGGAAGCTGGCTACATCTCCTGCTCAGCTTTTGCTGGCATTTCTTTCTCAGCAAGGAAAATGCTGTCGGTTGTCCTTAGCTGTGAAGAGCTTTGCGCTCAGTGCTTCTCTCTCTCTCCTCTCTTGTCTTTAGGTAAATTCGACGAAGTCTATGAAGCGCTAGCTGATGCTCATCCTAACCTTACAGTTTACAAAAAAGAGGAGATTCCCAAGAGGTGGCACTACACACGCAACGAGCGCATCCAGCCCATCATAGCAGTGGCTGACGAAGGGTGGTATATTTTACAGAATAAGTCAGATGACTTTCTGTGTGAGTATGTCATAGTATTTCTTCCCATTCTGCATCGCTTTTTGCTAACATGGCGGCTGTGGATCATACAGCAGTTTACTTACTGATGGTTTCTGTTACTTAAATGTTGAAGGAACAACATTGTATCAACACTTAACTACCGACAAGTGGTTTTTTTTTTAGATATGCTTCTTGATCCTTGATAGATAGGTAGATGATAGATAAGAATTGTACAGGGCTGAGGATGTAGCTCAGTAGTGGAGCCCTAGCCTAGCATGAGACAGACAGGTCCTGGGTCTGATTCCCAGCACTGCAAAATAATAATTAAAAGATTGATGTACAAAAATGTCCCTTTAGGTAGCGTTGGGCTCCCAACTGATCATGTTTATTGACTTAAAAAAGAAAAGTAATTGCATGGCAATGACATTTGTGGTATATTTGTGACTCATAATAGCATATGTGTACAGGTACATGGTCTCTTGCGACTACAAGTTTGTACCAACAGATGGTGATCTGTAAACAAGTATTTAATCCCATCAGGGAACATGTTTTCAGAAAGCCTTTCATAAATGGGAATAATTGCCGCCTCTCTGTGTTCTTGTTCCTGTACTGTACAGGTAGCTCATATGTTAGAGGTACTACTCGCAGGAAGATACCATCTTTGAGGAGATTTGCGAGTGTAAATTTAAGGAGGCTCTGTAGGAATTCTGGTTTTTGTGAACCATAATTATGCAATAGGTTGCTCGTCTTTATCTGTGACACAGAAAACCACAGCAGTGTTCCTGTTGCTGCAGCACCTTAGGCTCATCGATTCAGCAAATAATTAAAGAATGTCTGCTGGAGTCCTCAGCCAGTGACCCATCCACCCATTAATTAAGCCCTAAACTCCAACAACAGAGGTTCTCAAAGTATGCCCCCTGATCCAGCAATTTTTCACTCACGGAGGAATATGAGAGGAGATGAATTCTTGGGTCCAAACCAGTCCTTTTGAATAGAAAGGGTGGGGCTTAGCAGTTTTCACAGGGCCATCTCCCCCCTCCCCCCTCCCCCTGTAGTCTTACACATTTCAGTGTGCAAGCCTTGGCATCCAGGCTTCATGATTAAATACTGTCTACAGAATCAAGTGGCAGAGGCCACCACTGCAAAACAAAATCCCTGTTTGTGGGAAAGATCTTAAATGAGTCGTTATCATTTCATTTTCAATCTGATCTTCTAATAATATGTGTTACATGAAAGAATTATCTTTGCCTTCATGACTGAAAGTATCGATCCCCACTCTCATAGAATGAGCTCAGCAGCCTTTCACTGTTATGAATTCCTTAACAGCATCTTTCTTCACATGATGATCAATTAATTGGCTAGATCAGCATAGTACTCTGGAAGATAATTAGTACTCTATGTAAGTTCAGCATTATGTGGACTTGAACCGTGGCATTTAAAATGACTTCGTAAGATGGATCAGCTAGATAGGCTTCAAGTTACTCAGAGGTGACACCCCAGTTCATGACTTTCAGAGAAACTGCTGTAGGCTATGGTCGTTTTCTGTGTTTGAGTTCTTGCAGCCTATTGCCTTGTGGCAGAGTTAGATTTTTAGAGTGGAATTCGCAAGTCAGACATACAATGCAGCCTGCCAGTTTTCTTAGGTGACCATCTTAGCACTCATAGCTTCCTTCTCTCATCTCCTGATGTTACGCTGAGCATTCATGCTTACGTCATGCAGCTTTCACCTTTTAGTTTTGTGTCCCTTCATACACGTCAGAAGGCACTAAAACACAGGATGCTAAGCTGGAATCTGATCTGAGCCTCCAAACTCAAGGTTTTTCAACCATCCACAAGTCCTGACCTTTGGTTTTTAGTAGTTGACTGGAGCTCCAACTGAAGGTTTGATTTTTGGTGATGTTTTTTGCTTTTCTCCATATGTTGTTTTGCCCTTTGATTAGTCATTACAGCTTTGGTTTCATGATTAAAAAGGAAGCTCCTTTATCTCTAGAACAATACTCAGACACAATGTGTACCAAATAGCATTTGCTGCCCCTCAGTTGGCCAGCTGGCCACCAAACAAAAACAGTTCACTCTCTTTTATGCCTGTCGTGGCCTGGCTTTGCCCTGTACCTTCCTCTGCTCTCTTGGTTAAGGTAGCGTTGGCCTATAACAAAGATTTGCGACAATTTGACCTTCCACTTGTTGAAGTGAATTGTGGGGTTGACAACAGCAGAGGATGTTGAAGATTATTCCGTCTTTAAGTCAAATTAGATAAGATCGGTGTTGTACAGTTCAGAGCCTAACCATTCAACAGGTTATTTCCCTTCTCACGCCATCCAATTGGCTAACTTGTTCATGCGTTTTCTCTTCACAGTAGGCAACCATGGTTACGATAATGCATTAGCAGAAATGCATCCAATATTTTTAGCCCACGGTCCTGCCTTCAGAAAGAATTTCACAAAAGAAGCCATGAACTCCACAGATCTGTACCCACTGCTGTGCCACCTCCTCAATATCACCGCTATGCCACACAATGGATCATTCAGGAATGTCCAGGATCTGCTCAGGTCCGCAGCTCCCAAAGCCATTCCTTACACACAGACCACCACACTCCTCCTTGGTACTGACAAACCGGGAGCATATGAGCAAGAGGAGTCATACCCTTATTTCATAGGGGTCTCTCTTGGCATCATGATAGTGATTGTGTTTTTTGTGATTTTCATTAAACATTTCATTCCCAGTCAAGTACCTGCCTTGCAGGATAGGCAGGCTGAAATCGCTCAGCCATTATTACAAGCTTAATGCTTCCCCCCCCTTTTTGAAATGGAATTGCATATTGATTATTCAAGTGGAGATTGCATAAAGGTGTCGATGTTTTCAAATTCCAGGAGAGCAGTTTCAGACATCGGCTGAGGCCATCAAGCAGAGAATCCACACTTAGGCAGTCACATGTACACAGGGATAGACCAAAACACTCCCACCTGCACGCCCATACTTTCCCATTGTTCTCTCTAGCTTAGTGGGGTGGATATGCTCCAACTTCATTTGGACTTGGCACGTATACTGTATATAAATAGCAACTTTGCACTATTTAAATTACTTAACACATTGCACTTTATTCTTCTAGTGGGTACTTCTCTTTGAAAAGCACTTTACCAGACAAGTTATATCTTATAACTTGGTTGAAAATGACCACCTCCATCACCTCTGTCACAGAAAACTTGTATTTCATACATACAATTGAAAAAAAAAATTTAATTTCTGAATAATGTAGACATCTTCACAAACTGGGGAAGAACAAGGAAGTTGAAAAGTGGTTGCAGATACAGTGTGACACTCTTGGTATGTTGATGTTTTGGAGAGATACGTTGCCAGTAGCAGGCTGCATCTGTGGGCATTTCTCACTGTTTCTTTCCAAAGGACAAAGGACATAGGCTTCCATTTTTTTTCCCCCTCAAGGAGGTTCAAATTCTGACAGATCCATTCTAAGCATACTGTTTCTGTCATAAATCTAATTATTGCTGTTTGCTGGTTAGTCACATGACTGATTTTTAAATGAAACATTATGAACCTAGGCTTCTCTCCGATGTAGTTACAGCAGTGGCCTGAAAAGCAGAGAGCAGGCACCATCTCTGCAGTGTGTTGTCTGTAATTATTTGCTGCTTTGAAAACGAAATCACTGTTAATGACATTAAAAATCAAATGAGATAAAAACCGTGGTTGGCTGGTTTGTTTTTTTCTGATAATGTAACTTAGGTTCACAAAACCATGTTCATCGTGGCTGTGTGTGTAATAAGTAGATACTAGAAGCAACAGCCATGGGTTATAAATACACCTTGGAAAAGTAGTCAGCAACAAAAAGAGAACTGCTTCATATGCATATTAATTTGTATGAACCTCAGGAAATAATGCTGAATGGAAAATAAACAAGGTCAAAAAGTTACATACTGTAAAACTTCATTTGTGTAACATTTTGAAGTTTTAAGAAATGGAGGGTGAATGTAAAAGAACCATAGGAAAGATTCTTTTGGTATTGAACTGTTTTTTATTGTCAGCCCCAGTTACCATCACAATGTCTGGCTCAGACATATAGTCATTATCCTGCAAGCATAGTTGGTTTCTGTTGAGTTCTCTCTCTCGTCCTGGCCTGTAGATGGAGACCTTCTCCAGGTCCTGAGGCAGAGGAAAGAGGAGACCAGAAGGGGGCTCTGGTGTCTCTTTCCTCTCTCCTCTCTCTCTCTCAGCCCTCCCTCCCTCCCTCCCTGTCACATCTCTCTCTCCCCCCCCTTCCAACTTTCTTCATTTTCTCTCTCCTCTTTCCCTCTATCCATTCTCTTCTCTCTTTCTTCTTTCCTTTTCTCTTTCTACCTTCCTAATTTATTGTCGAGAGAAATGGACTTCATGATCACATTTCCATACATGCGTACAAAGTACTTAGTCCTTGTTCCCTCCTCCTTCCCCCTCCCCTCCCCCACTGGTCTCCCTGCCTCTGTTCAAGTTCCTGTCTGCTTGTTTGTTTATGGATCTAGACTCATAGGAGAGAGACCACGTGGTATTTGTCATTCTGGCTCTGGATTGTTTTGTTTAACATCATAGTGTCCAATTCTGTTCAGTTTCCTGCAATTGGCATAATTCTTCTCTGTGGAATATTAGAACTCCATTGTATGCACGTACCATTGTTTCTTTGTCTATTTGTTGGTGGTTGGGGTACCTGGGCTGATTCTGCCCTTAGCTACTGTGGGCAGAGCTGGGACATGGGGCATGGCAGGTGGTGTTGGTATCATGTGTTAATTTCCTCTCCCTCCGATGCATGCCCCAAGGGTGGTGTAGCGGGATATAAGGTAGTTCAGGTTTTAGTTCCTCAAGGAAGTTTCATACTGATTTCTGCAGAAGCTGGGCTAATTTATATCTCACTCCCATCCTCCTCTGGTTTTGTTTCCATAACGATTGACATTCTGACTGGTTAAAGCAGACCACCTGTGATGTGCTTTGCATTTCCCTAGTGGATAAGGACAGAGAATATTTCTTCGCCTGTTTTCTGTCAATGTGTACTTCTTTTGAAATCTATGATTCATTTGCCCATTTGTTAAGTTGGATTACATTTTTTCTTTTGGCATTTAATTTCCTGAGTTCTTCATAGATTCTGGATATAAATCCCTTGTCAGATGAACAATTTTCTCCCATTCCCTCACCATTCTGGTAATTGTTTGATGTGCTCAAGCTTTTGAACTTCCCATTGGTCATTGCTTGCTCATATTTAAGTCCCATTAGAGATACAGTTTCTTGTATCTGTGTCTTGAACTGATTTACTGATTTCCCTATTTCCCTTCTTCCCCGCCTCCCCCCCCCCCCCCCCATAGTTTCAGAGTTTCAGGACTTACATTAAGGTCTCTGATCCATTTTGAATTGGTTTATGTACAGAGACAGGGAGGGAGGGAGGGAAAGAGAGATCTAGCTCCCGTCTTCAACATATACATATCCAGTTTTAACATTACTTGTTAAGCAGACTTTTTTGCACATACATTTTTTTTCATCATCAAGTATGTGGCTACAGCTTCATGGGCTTATTTCTGGACCTTCTATTCCATTCATCTGTGTGTCTGTTGTATGCCATAAACAGAACACAAGCATAAATGAAGGAGGGACAAAGATCATATGATTGTCTCAATAGACACCGGTAAAGCCTTTGACAGACTCCCACATCCCTTCCTGATGAAAGCCCCGAGGCAACCAGAAAGAAAAGGAATATACATCCTCACATTCCAGGCTGTGGATGATAATCCTGTAGCCAGCACTGTGTCTAGGGGAAAGCCAAAGCATTTCCCCAGAAACCAGGAACAAGACAAGGACTTGTTACTCCCTCTATTCCTATTTAGTGTAGTGCTAGAACTGTTGTCCAGAGTTGTAAGGCAAGAGAAAGAAATTCATGCAAATAGGTAAGGAAGAGGCACACATACCTGTTTGCAGATGATATGGTCCTATACTTACCCTAAAGATGCCACCAGACAACTTGTAGACCTGAAAACTCTTGCCACAAAATAACAGGATCCAAATTTAATGTACAAAATGAGCTACATGGAACTGTTGAATCTATATTAATTTGGGTTAAGCCATTAAATGTCTAGCTACTTGCAAAACAAATACTATAACCACATCCCGCTGTTTTATGATTCATTTAGATGTTATTAAATGTATGTAGCTACCTATAAAACAGTTTAAGTTTTATAACCCCAACCAGCTACTTTATAATCAGCTTAGAAAACTTGCTTACTTGTACAGTAAGCCCAGAAAATTATACTGAGAAGTTCTGACATTTTATCTTGGCTTCCTCACCAACACTGCCTTCATACTGAACTCGGTATTCTATGTGCTGTTTTCAAGTTTTAGTTCTGTTATACTCTTAATCCTGGCTTAAAGAAACAAGGTCTGTGATGAATATATACAAAAGTTTTGCAGGATTATTAGTCATGAGAACACATCAATTACAATACACGTACTTTGCAAGAAGGTGACAAATTTTAAAAGCCTCAAAAATGTTTTTTTTTAATTTTAAAATTAAGTTACAGTAAGAATTTTTGGTAGACATAAAATTTTAATCATAAGCAAAGTCATTAGCTGTGCATTCAAACAATATAGTCAAGATATATTTTAACTTAAGGCACTACATACAACTGTCTTTAAAATACACTCATTTTATTTACACTCTAAGAATTGACAATAAATACATACTTTACATCCAGTCTTTGTCCTTCACTAGTAACTTTGTGTATTATTAATGTACTAAAACCCTCCAAATAAGGAAATTCAGTGCCATCTTCTTTACAGCTTACAAGCCATGGTCAAGAGAGGGAGATACCCAACAGCAGTGCAAAGGCATTTTAATCCATTAGTGCTCCAAGAACATGTAAGTTTCTAGAGAAAGCATAATAGCATAACCGTTCTGCTGAGCCCACGGTATAGAACAGTGCAGTATTTTATCCTATTGCTGTTTACCCAAGGAGTACGCCTTTATAGCAGCATGGCCATCTCTACAAGGAAACAGACTTATTCTGGATCACTCAATTAACAGTATTTAAAGCTTCTCCTATTTCCTTGGAGTGTTATTCTCATAAACTGTTAAATATTTCCTAAAGCCAGATCCATTTTACTATTCAGAAAGCAAAGCAGTACATTAGTTAGTCATTTATCAGAATACATGCTGAAGCCTTAATGGTAATGGCTAGCCTTACTGATTTTCTCAGTGATGTTTTAAAGATGCAAATGAATTAACACAGTTCAACGTAATGATACACTTCATTCTGAAATGCCATTCTTTTCTCATCGTTATTCATTTAAAATTTTTAATCTAATTCTAATATTTTGACAATGAAAGAGGATAAATAGGTAAAAGTGTTGTTTACAGGGTTAAGACATTAATAGGATATCTGTTTGAGTGTTCTATATAAAACCCATTCACAGGCTGGATGGCCTAGATTTCTGAAGCTCATAACTACCAAGCAAAATAATGAAGTCATGAGAACTCACAGCACTGAAGGACCAAGCTCTACTCAACTAGTACTCAATATTCTATGCTACACATTCCACAAATGTCCACTCCTTAAAAAAACGTAGCAGTCCTTCCTGATATTCTTAAAATAGAAATTAAAGTAGAAAGGAACTTTCATTGACCTTTAGTATAGCTATTTTTATGTGATTTTTTTTTTCACATTTGTAAAACCCATGTTCTATAACTTCTAAGTCACACACTTAAAACATCTCTTGCAATATTATAAGTTTTAGGCCATCTGAAGTATCCGTGCAAGATAATGTCAGTCGGCTAACTGTAATGGGGCAGAGGTTTAGGAACAGTGACTTATATAATTGTAACATTACCTAGTACAGGGCCTTGCATTTAGGGGTAAGATTATGAGCAGGTTCAGCAGATATACATGCCACTCCAGGGCATGTACTTACACATTCATGTCTACTGCAAAACTGATCACAGTAGCCGAGGTACAGAATTGGCCAGGACACCACGCCACAGATAAATGCAGAACATGTGGTATATATGCATGAAGGTGAGGGAAAAATTTTTGTTTAATTATCAAAATGCAGCAGGGTGATATTGGCTCATACCTATAATCCTAATTACTTATGAGGCCGAGTTCCAGAGATCACAGTTCAAAGCCAGCCCAGGCAGGAAAGTCCATGAGACTCTTACCTCCAATTAACCACCTAAAAGCCAGAAGTAGAACCATGGCTCAAGTGGTAGAGTGCTAGCTTGAGAAAAAAAAAAAAAAAGCTCAGGCACAGTGCCCAGGCCCTGAATTCAAGCTAGGATCAGCATACATTAAAAAAGCTATCAGAAAGCGTAATGAGTTCTGTTCTGTTCTTCAGTTTCGGACCAGTAGCAGGGGCTAATTAGCAGGAGCTAGAAATGCCTTAAAACCCTAACTATAACCAGCACCAAACAACAGGCTTGGGAGACTGGCAATGACCTCATAGGACATAGTGTATGTTTGATAACTGGCAATGGTGGTATTATTACCATCCCAGATAGTCAACCTGTAAATGGGCTGTACACCTACTGTAGATTAGTTTTTTTATATGAAAAGCAATTAGGAACTTTGACTGTCAAACATGTAAAAGCCACACTATTAATATCAACTGTGTGCTTCAGTTCTTGGCCTCAGGCACATAAGCTAGGCTGCCACAACAGTGTCTTCCTGTTAATCTTGATGACTGGGAGCTACTGCCTAGCAGGGTTAGCGTGACAGTCCACAATACACTTGGCTGGGAACAAGCATGTCAAAAGATGAAAGCAGAGAAAGTATTTCAGTGATCCAAATGTTGGAAACATAAAGCAGTGGTAACACAAAGGCTTTTCTGTCACCTGATGTGTGCATGGTGCAAATATCAGAAAATGCCAATTCTGCTTTAAATTTCTTCACCTCTCTTTGCTGTCTAAAAGAAGGTATGAAGTCCCAAGGTGAAAGAGAAACATCCCTTTGCATCATTCAGACCAAGTCAAAATTAAATGGTACTCAGGTGAGAAGTTGTTCTAGGGATTGGAGGTGGCTTAGTTGGTAGAGAGCTAGCCAATGAGCAAAAGCATCAGGTACCCATTTCAAGTCTCTGTCCCCAACCATTTCAAAGTCAGCCCAGGCAGGAAAGTCCATGAGACTCTTATTTCCAGTTAACCACCTAAAAGCCAGAAGTGGAACTGTGGCTCAAGTGGTAGAGTTCTAGCCTTGAACAAAAAAGATTTTTCTATAGCACTTGAATACCTCAAACTGTAATAAATATGAGAAAGTTAAAAGTTGGAGAAAAATTATCATTTGAACACTTGTGAGTTAAAGTAAATAAATATGAAGTGCAAAAAATAACATTTCCTGAGAGGAAGGTCTATAATGAACATAAGAATCTGCACACACATGTGCATATGCACACACTCATGTGCACAGACATACAGGCACGCACACAGTAGCATACACTGAAATATTAAAACACAAGTAGAAAGAAATGAATTTCTGGCCAGGTGCTGGTGGCTCACACCTGTAATCCTAGCTACTCAGGAGCTGAGATCTGAGGATCATGGGTCAAAGCCAGCCTGGGCAGGAAAGTCTGTGAGACTCTTATCTCCAATTAACCACTCAGAAAACTGGAAGTGGTGCTGCAGCTCAAGTGGTAGAGCGCTTGCCTTGAGCTGAAGAGCTGAGGGACAGCACCCAGGGCCAGAGTTCAAGCCCCAGGACGGCCAAAAAAAAAAAATTCCTTGTTAATAATCATCAAAAGAAGTCTCACCACATTATTCAGGTTTTTATAACCCTCTGCCTCGTCAGGGGGCTCCAGTGCCAGGGTTACAGGTGCATGCCGCCACACATTTATGTCCTGAAAGACTGAACTTTTTTGATTTTGGTCACTTAAGGTTCTTAACAAAAACACAAGGGTGATAATTCATATTTTGTACAGAATGGTCTTAGATGGGTTTGACCTTTAGTATCTTTACCTAAAATGATTTTTTTAATATGTTAGATTTGTTTTTTCCTAACTGGCTAATCAATTTTATCAGCCCCAACAGAACTTTCTACCTCAAGAGTTCACTTTGGATACAAACTAATTAAAGGTAAATATAAAAATACAGGAAACTCTCTGATACACAAAATCCAGGAATTACATAAAGATTTCTATTGTTTCATTTATAAATGTATAAATTTATTAGAAAAACCATGCCTATTAAATTTGTGCCTATTTTCATCTAGAGATGTATCATCTTCCTTGCTTTAAAAAAAGGTGGAGGGGAAAGCAGATGGAGTTTTTAAAACACTTGTTTTCACCGAAAGTTCTTTCTATGTGAAGAGTGAACTGACCCACTTGCGGTTTTACCATGGGCAGGGTTATTTGTACGAGCACAAGGAAAAACCAAGTCGTGCGAGTGTGCGAGGCGCGGGCTGTCTCTCCTTGAACGCACCGGTGGTTTTGAGGTTGGTCAAAGACAGGGAGGCCCAGCACCTTACCCAATCAGCGGGTCATCATCGTCTTCCTGCAGCTGGAGCCGGGAGAAGGAGTGCGGCGCCGACAGCCTGTTCTGCATGACCACGATGAGGCAGGTCAGCGTGGTCAGCACCAGGAGGGCACCCACCACGATCCCAATGGCCTCCGGGAGGTTGATGCACCACTGGTCGGCCAGCAGACACTTGGTCCGGCCAAAGGTCCCATTGTGGGGCCGCGGCGGCAGCCCCAGGATGTGGCACATCATGGGGTAGATGTCCACCATGTCGATGGTGCCGTGCTTGTAGCCTCGGTGGAAGGCAGGCCCGTGGGCAGCCAGGAATGGGTGCATGCTGGGCAGGGAATTGTCGTAACCGTGGTCCCCTACTGAAGAACCAAACGGCAAAATGATGCCCGTGAACACCTAGCATCATTATCAGCCCCCCACCCATTTTTTTAACATTACAAAACGATTTACTTCTAGTAATACATACGCTGGCTTCTTGCTGGGTGAATTCTCACTATTAAGATTAAATACAAAGCAGAAATAACGTCTCTCCTTCTTTCCTTGAGCTCGTTCGTGTCCCAGGGGTTTGACCCTGTCCTGTCCTCTCCTCTCTCCCTCACCCTGATGTACTTATCTTCCCAGGCTGTCCCTTCTCACTTCACTGTCCATCTCCAGCACTGGGTGCAAACACTCGCTACAAACAGCACCCGTGACTTTAAAAGAAGGAAAACAAGAGTGGTGGGGAGGAAGGGTCCTTCCAGGAGGCAGGGAGGGCAGGAGGGAGGCCAGGGAGGCCCTGGGGAGGACGTTTTGCAGACTCCCTCCCTCAGCACCTGAGATGACAAGGGTGGGGGACTGCCCCAAGGGCGCACATCCACAGCAGGGAGCAATGCCTACAGAAGGTGTTCTTGGACTGAACATGAAGTCTAACCAGATGAGTCCAACTTAGAAAGCCAGGATAGTTGGACTCAAAGAGAGAAGCGTTACTATAATGGCCCCTAGTGTAACTCCAATTCCAGTTCTCAAAGTTTTTAGTTTTGTTTTCATATTTTTTTGTTTGTCAGATGTGGGGCTTGAACTCTGGGCCTGAGCATTGTCCCTCAGCTCTTCAGCTCAAGGCAAGCATTCTACCACTTGAGCCACAGTACCACTTCTGGCTTTTTCTGCTTATGTGGTGCTGAAGAATCGAACCCAGGGCCTCATGCGTGCAAGGCAAGCGCTCTACCACGGAGCCACCTTCCCAGCTCGTTTTCTTATTTTTATGTGTATCATTGCATTTAATAAATTCCCACTTTCACAGTAAGTATTGATGTTTATGATAAGCCTCTTTAATAATGTTTGAAATACTTTATAATTAAAATAACAATTGGTTTCAATATAGCAAGAATACAGATATGATTCCAGTCATATTAAAATTTGCATAATGGAAGTGGAGCTGTGGCTCAAGGGGTAGAGTACCAGCCTGCCACTAAGGGATAGTGCTCAAGCCCTAAGTTCAAATCCTACTACTGGCTCCAAAATGACAATTTGCATTGTTTATGTAACAAAAAGATAGACAGGCCCTGCACTTGTTTCACTTGAGTCTTCACTATTGCTGCTTTCATACTTTATATAAAAGCACAGTTGAACTCAAATCGGCCAGCTGGCCCACAAAGCCTAATTTTACTCTCTGGCCCTTTCTAGTCAGAAAATGTTTTCTGACTCCTGCTGTGGACTACGAAGTCTGATTTTTTTTAAGTTAAAATTAATGGAAAATATGTATAAATGAGATTCTACCAATGCAATTCCCTACACCATCTATTTTAGGAGAGATTTTGATATACTTTTTTTTAACTTGATAGATTCTTTAGAACACTTTCTAAAATACAGCAGTCAAGGAAATATTTTCAATATTGCAAAAAGACTCAAGGTTACTCAACTTTTCATGGTTACTCAAATTAACTGCAGTTTGGGTAAGAAAGTAAAACTATAGTTTCACCCTTAAAGTTAACTCCCTAATGTAAGGAGTGGGGCTGTAAATTATTATTAAATGAAAACGTTGAGAATTATCTAGTTGGAAACCGGCTATATAAACAAGCATACCCACGCTCATACCAGACCAAGCACAACGCGTGATGTGTGATCAATCCCTAATACTTACATTTTGATGATGATTTGTTTAGCACAATTCTCCAGCCCTCATCAGCAACCACGATGATAGGCTGGATTCGATCATTATGTTGGTAATAAAATCTGTTGGGAATGTCTTCTTTGAGATAAACATTCATGTGAGGACTACAGTTTTTCAGTCTGTCATATACTTCTGTTTTATCTATAAAAGGGAAATAGCAAAGAAAAACACACACCATCATTTACTGGTTAGGAAAAAAATATGCCTAACTAGAGTCATTGGCAATAAATTTTCAGATAGTATTACCTATGAAGTCACCACTACATCTTAAACACTATATGAGAGTGAATCACACACACACACACTCAGACACACACAACCTCCCTTGCATTCTGTGGACAATCCTGAAAGAGGACATGTCCTATGTAAACATTTATTATGTATTTCTTGCTACCTGTGAACCAATTCCATGATCAGTAGAAGAAGCATCTATCTTAGGAGGCTCCAAGTTATTTCTAAGCATAAAAATTTCCCTTTTCCTTTTTCACTCATGTTTTAAGAAACATGTGAAAGCACAGAGAAACAGTCACTTCAACTCATACTACCTACGCGAACGTGTCACCTGTACTCTGAGTAAGAGCAAGGCCCTGAACTGCAAAAGCGAGAGCTCCATTCTTCTGTACACTCCTCCCTCTTCAATTGGTTGCCTCATCTGAATAACAGAATGCCTTGGCAATGTCTACCTACTTATTTTTGGAAGAATTGCAGCCACTGGGCTCAAATCTATGAGACTGTAGCTTGAGGGGTTGAGGCAGTGATCCAGGTTTATCAGTCTCTTCTCCGAACACTGGCTCATCCCGTGATCGCTTGTAATGATCACATTAATATTTTCCCAGAGTCCTACCAGCTTCAGCTTTTGAACTAGACTGCCAATAAGGCCATCTATTTCATTCAGAACCCTGCGCATGTTGTCTCTGTCTTCAGGGCCATACTTGTGGCCACTTGCATCTGGTTCTTCCCAATAGAGAGTTGCAAAGGTGACTGGTGGGTTGGAATAGCTGAGCCAGGTGGTGATATTATTTAGTCTCTCCTCAAATGACACCGAGGGGTTATAGTTCATAAAGTAGGAAGGCGTGGTGTTATGAATGAGAATGTCAGTCCCTGGCCACATGGCAGCAGCGCTCGATCTGTTTTCCTGCAGCTCATTGGTCACCCAAATAGGGACCGCCTCGTTCCACCAGAAAGGATCCTTATCATCAGCATCAGAAAAATGTTTCTTCGTGACTTGGTCATACATGGAGTTGGCCACAATGCCGTGGCTTTCCTCGTACAAGCCCGTTACAATGCTGTAGTGGTTTGGGAATGTTTTTGTGATAAAGACGTTTTTCACATGTTCTACCAGGACACCATCCTTGATAAAACTCTGGAGGTGAGGGAATTCGTAGTCCTGCAGGTAGTCGGCCCGGAAGCCATCGAAGGAGACCAGGAGCAGCTTGGGTGGCTGGCTGTAGGAGAAGTTCCCTCTGCACCCAGGTGCTACTGCAGAGAGGAGGAGCATTACCAGCACCTTCATAATGACCACGTGACGCCAGCAGGCAGGGGGCCTAAAATGCAAGCACACAGCTATCTGTGGAGTGAAGCTGTATTTCATTCAGCCAACAAGAATGCGGTGGCACCTCCCTTTTCATTCACGTTTCTGTAAAACCCAACCCTCTCGTAGGCCAAATCAAGCTAGCCTGCTTTACATTCCGTCAATTTTAGGACTTACATTAAAGAAAAGCAGGTCCAAGTACGGTGCCTTTTTCAACAGTTACCTCTAAGAGTTAAGAGCACCAATGCAATTCAACAAATGGTACATAATAAATGAACATTCACAGGCTGAAGAACGAATCCCCAGCCTGTCACCTACAATACTCAAAAGATTAATTCAATGTTAGTCACATAAGAACTAAAGCGGAAAAGTTCCTGAATGATAGCATGCTATAGCCATAGGTAAGAAAAGAGAGAGAGAGAGAAACAACTCCTTCAAAATTAAAAAGCTTTATGCTTCAAGTAAGTGACAAGACAATCCACAGAACTGGAGGGAAAAAAACTGCAGATCATGCATCTTTTAGGGCTTGTTTCTAAAGATAATCTAAGATAACGTAAGTTAATAATAGAAACTCAAATCTAACTAGAGCACTGGATTGAACGTGATATTTCTCTAAGGAAGATACAGATTGCAAATAAATATGCAAAAAGATACTCGACATCATAATATAATAACAATGAAAGACTACACTGCACAGACTGTGATGACTACATGAAAATGACAGGCACCAGCTGCTGGAGAGCTTCTAGAACTTCTGTGAACTCTGGTGGGAATGTAAAACAGTGCAGCCAATTTGAAAAAAACTCAGGCAGTTCTTCATCAGGCTAAATAGAGTTTCCCTACATTACTGGTGATCCTAGAATCTGGTGTCTGCACAAGAGAAATAGAAAACAAACACCTGTACAAACCTTCCACACAGAAGTTCCGGGTAACGCCAGTGTAAGAATCAAGAGGTAAAAACAGCTTTCCTTTGTGAAGTTATACTTGAATTTAAATTTGTTTTGTGTGAGGTTAGTTTAGCTAGTCTTTCTTTTGATTAGCAATATTCACTCTTGTTTTTAGCTTAACACTATTTTTATATTTAAAGTGTGTTTCTAGTAGGCAAACAATAGTTTGCTCTTGGTTTTGAAAATCTAATGCCATTTCTTACATTTCAGTGTTCAATTATCTGTCTTCAATGTGATTGCTGCTGTGTTTAAATCTATCGTATTGCTGTTTTCCATTTACCTCAAGTATTTGTCCCTCCAGTTTTTGTCTTTTATGGTTTTATTTTTTTGAGTGATTTTACTTTAAGCAGAAACTCAAGTATCCACTAATAAATGGACAGAAAGACATTATATACACATAATGAGATATCTGGCAACAAGGAATAAAGAAAGCACTAGTATATGCTATGACTGGGATAACCCTTGAAACACTGCTCAGAGGCAGTCAAGCAGACAGCCTATTGTGACTGAATTTAGATGAGATGCTTACAATAAGAAAAGTCTATGGAGATGATGTATCAGCAGCCGCTCAGGGCTGAGCATTGGGGGGATTAAGGGGTGCAAAGGTTTGAGGGAGTGATGGATTATGGTGATGTCTACTCACTCCATTAAGCCATACACTTTAAATGAATGAACTAGCTAGCACATGGCTTGCATCTCAATTAATTCTGCAAAGCAGAGGGAAGTGAAATGATCACTTTAAGTGCCCCACCTGAAAAGGTAGGACAGGAAACACTTTTGCCTTTTCATTTTACCTCAGAGATCATGTGACTCGTGTATCTCATGAGACATTTTGAGTACTTAAATGTGAAAATGTACATTGCTTCCCATATACAAAACAGCACAATTTAAATAACTTTTTAAAAACCTGTGTATCTATCTCCCACAAAATACAAATTGAACCCTTCTTCAAATCTTGAGTCAAGAGTATGCTCAAGGTCATGTGCAGTGGCACACACATGTAATCCCGGCACTCAGGAAGCTGAAGCAGGTGGACAGCCAATTTAAGGCCAGCCTAGGCCATATTAAAAATAAACAAATAGAAAATAACACCTTAGGCTGCTAATCCTGGGGTTCAGTAATCTCTTAGCACACCTTGTCTTCAACCTTGACACCAGAATGATCCAGAATCTGAGCTTACACATGGGTACCCTTGGTCAGTTCACCCCACTTCCTCTGCCTGGTGAGGTATCAAGTCACAGCAATTAGTTTCCCCTTCTCCATTTTCAAAGCTGTCATATTAGAAAAATCTGTACTATGATAGAGTACTACCATGAAACTACCAGCGAAGAACAATTTAGTCTCATCTCCTTTTACATAGGAAAAAGTGAAGTCCAGTGGATGGCCAACCTCAGAAAGCCACTGGCAGCTTTACAAATGTTATACCGTCAACAAATGGGCAAATACAGTGCGACCAAGTCTGGTAAAAACCCTCCAAACTATGACCAAACGGTTACCAGAGCTCCTGCCAGCAGCAGTGTGCTATGCGAGACAAGGAGTGAGTGGCCCAGTCTAACAGCAGCGTTAAAAGTTACACGCAAATCGCCAGTGAAAATGGTTTCTAAGGAGTGAAATTACTATTCAAATATTAGTTAAAGGTGGGAGGAATTCTGTAATTTTTCATACACAAAAAACTTACTGAAGGGGAGATTAAAAAAAAAAAGACTACCTAAAGGACATCTAGTCAAAGAACAAAACACTAACTCCTCTGCGTAACTTTTTGACCTAGATGAAATGCATGGGGAACTATTCTCCCTGGACAATAGTGGGAGAGGATGGGACCGTTAACTTGGCACCTGCTGTGTGATACAGGAAACTCCCACACAGCTTCTCAAATGGCTCTGGGATCGCGACACACCTAAGCTGGGCGTTCACCTCTACATTATCAGAGCATTTATTTATTTCTTAAGGGGGGGGGGGTGGGATGCATCTACTCAGCAAACCTTTCTCAAAGGCTGTAGGATCCTAAATTATTCTCCAATTTCCTGGGACACACAAGATCTTGTAGCATCTTTAAAAGAGACTCTTCTCTGAGCTTCTACATTGTAAAAATAATAACAAGTCATAACCGCCCCTTCCATGCATCCTAGTGTCCAAAATGACTTCTAAATTATATTTTGTAAATAGTGTTTTAAAATTTGACAAGGAAGGAGGGGGGCATGGCAGGGGAGGGGAAGCAGGGGAGGGGAGGGCAGGGGAGGGGAGTGGAAGGCAGGGGAGGGCATGACGGGAGGGGGGAATAGGAAGGGGGCATAGCAGGGGAGGGGAGGGGGAGGCAGGGGAGGGGAGGGGGAGGCAGGGGAGGGGAGGGGGAGGCAGGGGAGGGGAGGGGGAGGCAGGGGAGGGGAGGGGGAGGCAGGGGAGGGGAGGGCATGACAGGGGAGGGGACTTGCAAGGGAGGGGAGGGGGGCATGACAGGGGAGGGGGGAGGCAGGGGAGGGGAGGGCATGACAGGGGAGGGGACACGCAGGGGAAAGGAGGGAGGGGAGGGAAGGGGAGGGGGAGGCAGGGTCGTAAGTTCACAGTTTCCTCCACACAGCCGGCAGGCCGCCCTGGCGCGCCCGCCGCGGGCCTCCGAAGCCCGGGTCGGCCCGAGGCCCGGAGCCCGGCCGGGGGCGCCGGTACCTCGGGGGCGCCGAGGGCCGGCTTGGGGCTCGTGACCGGCTATCCGGGAACAGGGAGCCGCCTCTCCTCCGGCTCGGCTCCCCCGTCGGCTACGAGAGCGGGCTTTAAACAGAACGACACGGCCGCGCGTCGGTAACCGAGCCTCCGACACGCCCCCGCCGGCGCGCGCCCCTCCACCCAACCGTGGGCCCCCGGCGCCCGGGCCGCCCGCCCGCCCCGGCCCGCCGAGCCCGATCCGCCGGCTCGATCCCTCCCGCGGGGCGCCCTCTGGAGGGCCCGGGGCCGTGCGCGGTGCGTGGGGGTGCGGGCGGAGGGCGGGGGTCTCACCGAGTCGCGTCCCTGAGGGCGGGGCGGGGCGGGGCGGGGCGCGCGAGGCCCAGGCCGCCGGCGCCTGCGGGCGAGGGGGACCCCGAGCGCGCGGGCGCGGACCAGCTCTCCTGCGGCGCGTGCGCAGTGGCCGCTGCCGGGTTCGCTCTGGGGAGAGGCGCGGCGGCTCCCCGCGGGCGACTCCTCTGCACCGGCTGGCAGCGGATGAGACCTTGAAGTGGATTGGATGCCGTAGCCGACCGCGGGTGCAACGCGCTTTTTGATTGGTCAGCTTCAGGTTCCCACCTGGAGACAGGTGAGGGTAGGAGCGGATGTCAGGAAAAGTTAGTTCGTCTCTCCCTGCACGCCCAGAAGTCATCGTCGTAGATGGGGGGGTGCCTTCCCGGAGCCCGAAACCGCGAGGTCCCCTGAAAAGTCCGCTGGCGGTTGGCCAAGCCCAGAGCCTCGGTCATCACCATGCACCTGTCGCCCGGGAGCCCCGGGGAGGCTGCGGCCGCCTCCCGCTGCCCCGCGAGTGAGGGCCGGGCCGCCTCCCCCGCCCCCTGACCCCGGTGAGGGCCGGGCCGCCTCCCACGTCCCCGGGCCCCGGTGAGGGCCGGCCGCCTCCCCCGCCCCCTGACCCCGGGCCCGGTGAGGGCCGAGCCGCCTCCCCCGCCCCCTGACCCCGGGCCCGGTGAGGGCCGGGCCGCCTCCCACGTCCCCGGGCCCCGGGCCCGGTGAGGGCCGGGCCGCCTCCCCCGTCCCCTGACCCCTGACCCCGGTGAGGGCCGGGGCCGCCTCCCCCGCCCCCTGACCCCGGTGAGGGCCGGGGCCGCCTCCCCCGCCCCCTGGCCCCGGTGAGGGCCGGGGCCGCCTCCCCCGCCCCCTGGCCCCGGTGAGGGCCGGGGCCGCCTCCCCCGCCCCCTGGCCCCGGTGAGGGCCGGGGCCGCCTCCCCCGTCTCGGGGCCCGAGTGAGGTGAGGGCCGGCCGCCTCCCCCGGCCCCTGGCCCCGGTGAGGGCCGGCCGCCTCCCACGTCCCCGGGCCCCGGTGAGGGCCGGCCGCCTCCCCCGCCCCCGGGCCCCGGGCCCGGTGAGGGCCGGCGCTTCTCCCTGCCCTGCGACCCCGGTGAGGGCCGGCCGCCTCCCACGTCCCCGGGCCCCGGTGAGGGCCGGCCGCCTCCCCCGCCCCCGGGCCCCGGGCCCGGTGAGGGCCGGCGCTTCTCCCTGCCCTGCGACCCCGGTGAGGGCCGGCCGCCTCCCGCTGCCCCGCGAGTGAGGGCCGGCCGCCTCCCCCGTCCCGGGGCCCGAGTGAGGTGAGGGCCGGCCGCCTCCCCCGCCCCCCGGCCCCGGTGAGGGCCGGCCGCCTCACCCGCCTGAGGGTGAGGAGCCGGGAAGGCCGGGGTCGCGGGGTAAGTGCCCTGGGAGCACGGAGCCTGCGGAGCGGTCGGCTCCGGGCCGTCGGCGCCCGCTTCCGGGGCCCCTCGGTGTCCATCACCCCCGCCCCCTCGCGCTCGGGTCAGCCGGGTTCTAGAATCCTGAATGGAAGCCGGGCCCTCTGTTGCCCTCGTGTCGTCCCACCCACGTCCGGGCCACCCGCACGCGGACCTCCGCGTCTGCCTTTCGGGGTGCGTGAACCCAGCGCACCCCCAATCTAAGGCGAAGACAGGACCGCGCCCAGGGGGCGGCTTGTGAGCACGGGGACGAACAGGTGAGTGCCCCCGCAAACAATCGCGGCACCCAGTACAGTTAAGATGGCAACAGGCAAGATCATTCAAAGCAGAGAAGGCTGGAGGCATGGCTCACGTGGTACAGCACCTGCCGAGCCAAGCACCAGACTCCACGTTCCAACCAAAGGACGGAAAGAGAACCGTTAAATGAATTAATGATGAATCACATACAATATCCCCAGTGGTCTTAAGGACTTAGCTCTTCACACTAGTATCTGGTTAGGAGCCTGAAGCCGTAGTCCTTGGATGTCAGCGTCTGAATTCGGGTCCATCCATCTGACCTTGAAGAGTACAACAGTTTTCTAGCGGCTGGGGGGGGGGGGGCGGGGGGGGGGGGGGAAGGAAACTTGGACTTGGTTGTATTATGTGCGTCGATATTGTGGCTAGATACATTTAATTATACTTTCGGTCCTCCAGGCTAGCCTATGTATTGGTGAATGGAGGCTGTAAGAGCTGGAAGGTACTGCAGAGGACCGCTCCTAGAATCTGCCAGGCCTGAATTTGAACCCTCACTTTGCCATGCTCTAGCTGAGCAATCTTGAGCAATTGTCTTAGCCTAGGCCTCGTGTGTATTCGTTTCCTAATATGCGTTATAGGCCTTGTTACAGCATCAGCCTCTTAGAGTTGTCAGATGAATGAAGAAAGGACAGCACTTAGCAAAATACTTGACCATGCTGAGTGTTGGTGGTTATTATCATGACCCAGATGTGTTCCCTAATCTCAATCTTCTAGGCAGAGCTCTAGGAAAATTTACATACTCTCCACTCCAGTAAAACTTAAATATTCTGGCCTTCAGGGGGAGAGCTATAATGACACATATCCTGTTTTCCCTGTTTTCTAGGGCCATGCATGTTTATAAAGAGCAAATAAAATCCAGAACCATACAGGTGACTTGTAGTGAAAAGAGCAGTTGTCTGAGCATCATTAGAAATGTGTTGGGATATCAGTGTCACAGGAATAAGGACAGCAACTGCAGAGGCAGTGCTACTGACAAGAATCCCAGGAAGCCAGCAAGCTGGGCTGCAGTTGCTCAACTTTTACTCCTAACATGGTGGACCCTGCCTTTCTACTCAGATTTGCTGAGCTCAGATTTGCAGTCTGCTCCTGAAGTGCTAAAATGGCCCAGCACGAGGAGATGAACGTTTACATCTTGGTGGGCAAGATTCACAAAAGGAGGAGGGGCCTAGCAAAAGTCCAGAAGAAGGAACTGGAATTGGAATTAGAGACACACACTTTGAGAAAAGGGACTTCTTACCTCTTTACCCACTGGCTTTGTGTCTGGGTCAAATCAAAGTCCCATGCAGTCTGCCCTCCGTGGTAAAAGAGAATAATCAAGAACAGAGGGACTTACCTTTTGGCACCAGACTTCCATTATCTGTCATATATTATTGTTTCAACCATAATTGAATTCCTGTTACAAATGGGTTTAAATAATAAGGCTATTTGTCCTCTTGTGGAACAAGCAATCCAGATGGAGGGCAGACTGAATTAGCAACTCAACAGTGCTAGCCAAGTACTGGCTTCTTTCTAAATTTCCTTCTGGACATTAATAGAATTAGCTTCTGGGTTGTTGTTTTTTTTCTAGTAACAATAACTTGAGTCACCAAGATGAAACCTATGATTCATTTTTCACACTTACTAGGTGATAAAAGTGACTTCTGTTTTTTCCCCCTCTCTCTTAGAAGCCTCCAGTGCCTGTCCTTCAATCAGCCTGGCTAAAATGGTATGGTGTACCCAAATCTAAGCCAGCAAAGAACCTTCCACACCTGAGTTAGAGCAGGGCCCAAGAATGGTCTGTCTCAAAGTATACTTTGCTTCTCAGTGGCAGCAGGTGGAATTGCACCATGTTCACTGTAGTTGTGTTTCTAAATGAAAATGTCACATTCTTCACTGCTTATGTGCTTTGTAGATATAAACATTGTTTTAGTTGGGTAGACAAAGTAGTAACGTTCACATAATATTCTTTCAGGTCAGCTTTTGAACAGAGACTTTATATAGAAAGCCTTTTTAGCCTATTTTGTGCGAGAGACTGAAATCACTTAGAAGCAATACTCTGAGCTCATCACTTACAAATGAATGTTGTGATCTAGAATGAACTGACTTGGCTAAATTCTCGAAAGCTAATTCAACTAAAGTCATTGTTTCTACAGTCAATGGCAGATTAAAAAGCAGCATGTCAAAGGAAGTTGTTTTGGGGTTTTTTTTGTTTGTTTGTTTTTTTGCCTTTTAAAATCCCATGACCTAGACTTAAGATTGAACATCTGTACATAAACAGAAAATGGTTTTTAAAAACTCCCTCTGTTTTCCAAGTTAAAGACATAGTTCTTTATGCAATCATTTCTCTTTTGAAAACATTCCTACTGGTGACTGTTAGAAACACACACAACAACCTTCTGGTGTCAGAAATGAATAGATGCATAAGAGATATAGGAGATTTCATGAATGCAATTCCTTTTGCCCAAAGGGGCAGCATGCCATTACCCTACTGAGAGCTAGACAGGCACATAAAGCAGTATGCTGGGTTTTTATCCCAATCCAAATGGTCTGTCCTCCTTATGAAGGAATTGGGCTCACTCCCATTCTAAGTAAGACTGATTATTAAGGTTAGAAAAGGGGCCTATTCTTTCATTCTTACCAAAGGTTTACAATTTTTTTTCTCTTTCACAGCTGTCTGGGAGCAGATCTGGCTGTATACCAGCAGAGTGGCTGGTGTACAGTTGGAGGAGGTTGATGAGGTCAGTGGAAAGCTCCTGCTCAAAGATATCTTATTTCTTTTAACTCCGTAGATAAAGATTTATCATTCTAACAGGGCTAGCTGGTCACAAGCAGCACACTTGATAGTTGAAGTTTATTCTTTGAGCACCTTTGGCACAAGATAGAAAAACTGGGAGAGAACAAGGGAAGGGGTGACATTGTTCAAAAAGAACTGTGCTCTTTGTCTGACTTATATAACTATAACCCCTCTGTACCTTACCTTTACAATAATGACAAAAATGTATATATTTTAAAAAAGATTCAGCTGGGCACTGGTGGCTCACGCCTGTTATCCTAGCTACTCAGGAGGCTGAGATCGGAAGATCGAGGCTCAAAGCCAGCCCAGGCAGGAAAGTCCATGAGACTCTTATCTCCAATTAATCACCAGAAAACTGGACATGGAGCTGAAGAGCTCAGGGACAGCGCCCAGGCCCAGAGTTCAAGCCCCATGACTGACAAAAAAAAAAAAAAAAAAAAGATTCATATTCCTAACATAGCTGGCTGGTCACAAACAGTACAGATAATAGTTAGAATTGAAATCGAAGAGTAAATCATTGCAGGAAATATCAGTCCCAGGAATTACCAACATACAAGATGGAGGCAACTTTGGTTTGGCAGAAAATACTGCTTTTTTTCACAGTGACACATCCCTCTTTGTTGACTGGAGTTAGGTCAGGAGTTAAAAGTTACAAGAAAAAGGTTTTAGAGCCACACCCTGACCCAACTAAAACAATCCAGCCTGCTGTGTCTCAATTAAACAAACACAAAACTGAAACCAACTCACTGAATTTCATGTCCCTGAGAGAATATTTCAAGGTCTACTTTTCAATTTATATTAGATGTTAATGTAAAGAGAATAATGTAGACTTTATCTTAAATATAAGAGGGTAAAAAGGGCCTATGAATCATAGCTCTTCAGTGATTTTGAAAATTCATTTCATTAAGCCTCTATTGTTAGTAAGATTACATTTGAATAATCTCAGCCCAATAGTATTGAGATCTTGTATAATCTATCATGAGCTATTTAGTATTAGGTGTTTCTTTCATTCTGCAAGAGTGTTTTGAAAGTGAAACCTGTGTGCTGGTTCTGGGGCTTGAACTCAGGGCCTGGGTGCTGTCCCTGAGCTTTGTGTCTACCACTTGCCACTTATGTCCTTTTCTGAGTAATTTATTGGAGATAAGAGTCTCATGGACTTTCCTGTCCAGAATGGCTTTGAAATGCAATCCTCAGATCTCAGCATCCTGAGTAGCTAGGCGTCCAGCCATACATTTCTTTTTGAGGACCTGTGGAGATGCTCTTCTGTGAACTGTGGAGGAGCTTCAGCTTGGCAAGGAAGCAAGTTGAGGGCACTAAATTCTTAAAGAAGGGAAGGCAGACAAGGATAATAGTTGTTTCAATGGAAGTGGGACAGCCAAGACCCACAGGAGAGGCAGAATCATAAGTTCAAAGCTCTTCCCTCCTGATGAAGCCAGCTGCTTATAATCTCTGCTCAAATCGCCTATAAGACAGTCAATTTTGTCTGTTCTTTATGAACATTCTAATGATTGACTGAACAGGCAGGATGTACTTCTATGGATGACAGTTGGAATGATTACCAACTCCAACCACAAACCCAAGGCCCACCCTCCCCCACCCAAATATGTCACCCAACATCATGGTAACCAACAACCCTTCTGTGGTTTTTAACCACAGGCCCAGATGTTCTTCAGGGATACTGGTGTGGTCTCACCTCCAGCTGACTCAATTGACTCCTCCAGCTGTGTACCAAAACCCTGTATCTCCTCACTTCCCCTTCCACATAACTCAACATCAGATATTCTTGTCCCAGTGAGCTATTTCATTATCACCGCTGGATTTCTTTCCAGGATTGCCCGAAGATGAAGAGAAACACACTGAAAAGCATCATGAATTTTATATTGCTCTTCTCCCATGCCTTCTTTATATCAGCCCCCGCCTCACCTGCTCTGATGTCGCACTCAGACGCATATATAAACTCCCAAGGTTTTGAAAGTTGTCCACTTGTATTAGTTAGTATGTCTGCTGTGGTAAATCCCACAGGCTGAGTGGAAATTATTATTTCTTGATTCTGAAGTCTAACATCCAGGTTTTAGCATGATTGCTTTCTTCTAAAGGATCTATCCTTGGCTTATTTAGACACAGTTATCTTCTTGAATCTTTACTTTGTCTTCCTCCTGCAAGTTTGTATCCTCATATCTTTTTGTTTTTGTTTTTTGTTTTTTTGGTCTTTTGTAGCTTTTTTTTTTTTCCAGGGCTGAGGACCGAACCCAGGACCTTGCGCGCGCCGGGCAGGCGCCCTTCCTCTGGGCTAAACCCCCAGCCCCTCCTCATTTCTTTTTGGAAGAACAGCTGTCATATTAAATTAGGGCACACCCTTAATCACCACTTTAAAGGCTCTCTCACTCCAAATTTGGACATATTCTGAGGTTCTGAGGGTTAAGGCTGTAACATATGAATGTTGGCTGGCTGGAACACAGTTCAGCCCATAAGCCCATCTAGTTGCCTGGGTAGCACATCAGATTTACCCATTGTCCCTACAGGGTTTACAACTTTGCAGCTGTGGCGCCTTTTGCTGGTCAGAACCCCCTGTGTGCGTGCGTGCTGGCATGTGTCACACAGCCTCCTTTGTTGATATGACTCATCTGCCTGCTGACACTTTACTTGGGAGATCAACCTTCGTGCTAAAGAGGTAGAGGTCCCTGGCTTCACAGCGCTTCGGCCAGCCTCCTGCCATCACCTGCCTGCAAAGCTGCCCCATGTCTAACTTCTCAACCCTTTCATCAATGCCTCAAGCCGCCGCCGCCTCTTCTGTAGTCTGCTTCGCCCACCTCCCCGACTCTGGCCTTCCAGTGCCTCACTGAGGGGCCAGAAGGCCTTCTCAATTAGAAAACCACTTCCTGTCACTCAGTGCCAGCTTACCTCCCACTCACAGGTGTCTTTTAGAATGACACCATTCCTTGCGTTGCCCGATGATGACTATGTCAGCTGCCTCCTGAGTATTTCCCACACTTCTGTTTCCCCCAGCTCACCGCCTCACACACGCATGGTCCTCCATGGACTGGCCTCCTTGTGTCTCCTTTCTCAGGGCTCTCTAAAGGTAATTTTTGCTTCAGCACTAAGTGCCTTAAGCCCACTGTGGAATCACCCTCCACGTGAAGCGTTCTAGGTCATACTTCCCACAGTCAGTGATCTCAGCTTGAACAGAAATCATCTTGGTAAAGGAACGTGTGCAGATGGTTAATAACGTCCAAGTTTCTAAAAACTATAATTGTGTAAAACCAGAATTATTAGGATAATAAGTGATGCATGAGCATGATGGGTTCTTGTTCCCTGGCAGCATAGAAATGAAACCAGGAAGGATGAGCACAGTTGTAAAGACTTTATTTAGCAAAGAGAAAGTGAAGGTCCCACAGGAAAGAGAACAGCGGGACCAAGAAATCGGTTGTCCTCTGCAGGGTCAAGGAGCAGGCTGTTATGTATTGCTCCCCACTACTTTTTTCTTCCCTTCTGGCCATTTGTCAGATTGGTTCATTTGAAATCAGCAAGACCCTCCCCTGGGCAGTAGCCACAGGATAGTGGCTTGTAAGAGGGCTGGCCTGAGTTATGGCAGGACCGAAGACCCTTCCCTGGGTGGTGGCCACCTGATTGGGCGGGGAGGTGGAGTGGGGGTGGGGGAGGGGAAGGGCAGGAGGGAGCAAGCTGGCCTGAACCAGTTGGCTGATGTTTTCCTTCAAAATTTATACTAACAAATGTTCCTTTAGGAAGAATTATGTGTAAGGTTCCCTATTAAGATAATTAATTAATTTATAAAGGCCTTTCGGGGAAATGATATGCAATTTTCAGAAGCCTGTTCTTCATGGGGTAAAGGCAGATTTTTAACATACAAGAATTACTGTCACTGGAAGCCACATGCAGCCCTGTAAGAGGTGACCAGTTCTTTGAGAAAGTTAGTATATCACTGACAGTACTTAAGCCATTGTTTGAAAAGTTAAGTGGTCTTACCACAGATGGAACTCCAAGCTATGATTGCTTGCAAAAAAGGTTCATTGCATTGTCCAGAAAGAATCAAATCATCTCAGTCTTGATCTTAAATGGACAGTTAGGAAGTATCTGATGCGTCTTTTGCCTTGTCACAAGCCAGAGAGAGAGAGAGAGAGAGAGAGAGAGAAATTAGAAATCTCCTGTGGAATCCTTTTTTTTTTTTTGGCCAATATCTTCTGTTGAGTGGGTCCTCCAATCTGAGGCAAGCTAACATTCTGAAACAACTTTACTCTGCCTGATTTAACAACTCCACAGCAGCCACCATGCGTGCTCTCACACACTTCTGCTACCAGAGGCCTCAGCTGCTTTGTGATTTGCCTGCTCACTACACACCTCACCTGAGTGACGTCATCTCTGTCATGTGATTTTATCCAAAGTCTGGCCTCTCAACTCATGGAGTCTGGAACGTTTTGAGTTGTAATACTGCAGTGGATTGGCTTTCCGTTTCCGTTAGTGCTAACACACTGACACAGGCTGGCCTTTGACTTCAACCAAAGGAAAAATCATTTGTCTATTTTTCTTGGAAAGATTTGTATTCTGCAGCAAGGTTCTATCTTTATAGTTGTCATTAGTAGGATGTTTCACCACTTGTTTGAAATTGTGTGTGTGTGTGTGTGATGTCACCAGTGACACAATTATTTTGCTTTGATTATTGTTATAATCCTATACCTTGCATTCGGCACATATCCCACATTCTTGTTTTTAGCTCTTGAAATAATTTTGTCCTGCGTACAATAATTTTGTTCATCTTCTTTTGGTACTCAGTGTTTGCAAGGATTGTTGATGGTGGACATGTGGACAAGGATTGCACTGGAGTTACCATCTGTATTAACACACAAGGATGACAACATGGTCAGCAGTCATTAGAGGCCCGCAGAAAGCATCTCCTTGTGTCTGGTCTCATCATCTCTGGAGTGAAAGGTGTGTTGATAGTTTTGTAATGTTTACTTTCCCATCCTACCTGACACTGACTGTTTTCTGAGACCTCAGCACAAGCACACAGATCTTGGGCAGCTGATGAAAGGCATTTTTGTCCTACGTACTCGTGTAAGCCCCATCTATCCCATAATTTAATGTTGCTATGAGAACTTGTGGAATTACTGAATGTTGAGTCACTCCTGTGATTACCTTTGCGGGGCAGACTAAATGATTTCACCAGCATTATATGGTCGGTGAGTCGGATGTTGGCATGGGCTCAAAGGGTTGGCATGGGTTCTATATCAATAATTATTTGAGCCCAGATTTTTGTTTCTTGTGCAAGGTAGATTTCCAGCCGTCAAAGCTTGCACATTGCATCCTCCATTCTGTGAGGTTCTGTGAGGTATAAGATGGGGAAGATAGGATACCTCGATTCAAATCTTATCATCCAGTAGATCACTGAGGGTCTACTGGGTGACAGACAGCCAGAACACAGGAAAGAGGCATAGTAGAGTTTCCTCTTTCAAGGAAGGACCTCCTCCTCTGGGTCTCCTTTAACCTAGTTCTAACTTGCATCATGAAAATGCCCCAATAGTACAGTTGCATGTATTATCTTGATGATGCATAGCAATAGGCTAGTTCTTGCTTTTAATAACACCACAGCATGGCCCCCAGGGTGAACAGGAAAGCAAGCAGCTTCTCTTGTTTCCATGGTAGAGGAAAACAGACACATCAAGCGAGAAGGCCAGAAAGTACCTTAGGAAGTTTTGTAGCTATTCATCACTCTTGAGGCTGATGGAGAAGTAAGACCTGAGAAGGATCAGAGCTGGTGACTGTCAGACCTAGGACCTCGATTCCAATTCCTGGAGCAAGTCCTGAGCTCGTCTCCTCCCTTCATTCATCATGACTATCTCCAATTTTAAGCTCCGTGTTCTGTGGCATTCATGTGAAACATTTCATAGTGAGGGTCAGAGGGCAGACTTTAGGAGATGCTCACCAATGCCAGGAGTCCTAAGGGAGCACAAGGCAGGTTTCCTTGTTGACTTACAGTCCCAACTGTGTTCTTCATCTTAAGGCAACTCTGAGGATGGAAACTGTGGTGCTTCCTGACTGTCACTCACACTGGTCCTAGGATGCCATTATTCAGTACTCAGTACTAGAGCACAGTACACAGGCGGGTAGATAGACAGGAAAAATGCCACCAGCTCATGCTTCCTGTGGCTGGTGCCCATGACTCTAGAAAGAATTAAGAGGTTGCCAGTGACCTTAGCCACTTCCTCAGCGTTCTAAAAATTGTGTGGGCTCTGGTCCTCTGCCCTTCCTGCCTGTAATGCTGACAGATATGCACAGGTGTGATGGCCTACATCATTCCTGCTATCTGTGTGACTGGCCATACTTAAGGACATGGCAAGTGAACTGTACCTGTTTACTCACAATGGGGAGATGGGAGCTAAAGAAATGAGTTTCGAATGCCAGGAAGGTCATTCTGCCACCTAGAGACCTGTGCCAGGCCAGCCGTCTCTAGTGCTTGGGCTGGGATACACTGGAAGGACTCCTGGGAGCAGCACATACCACCACTTAAAAGGACCCAATGTTCATTTTACCAAAGAAGTGACCCATCACCACTGCACAGATCTGGGGTATGAAATTGGAATTTCACTTTAGAGATCCATTATAAAGCCAGGAACATGATTCGACCTATACAAAGCACAAGGCTGATTTGACATTGAGATACAAAGTGATAGAAAGGAACCTGGGAAGGGTTCCTTTTTGCCAGCCGTGATGGCATGTCCTTGCAATACTAGAACTTGATAGGCTGAGATGACAAGATCATGAGTTCAAGATTTGCCTGAGGTGCATAGCAATATGCCATCTCAGTAACAACAACAAAACATTTATTGGCAGCTTTGTTTGTAGAGAATTGGAATGAAGCCCATTTGTGATAGAATGGGATGGGAGGTAGAAGAGGAGAGAAGGGTGTGATGGGAAATGGGACACATTGTATTAGATGATGTGGCTTTTCTCAGAATAGGCTATTTCTAATGCCACTGCCCTTGGTCAAACCTTGCTACTGCCCTGCTTGCATTGTCATCTTATCAGCTAACCCAATCTAGACCATGAGACTAACTACAATTGGAATATTAAACTAGGAGGAACTGCAGGAACAGGAAGAATGTAGCCATGGCAGTCCCAGAAACTGCTTTTCCAGTTGATATACATCATCAGTGGGCCTGGTAATCCCCTCTGGGGACATGAATAGCACAGACCATGTATCTTGAGGCAGGAAGCAGGTAGAGGCACAGGAAGGGAGAATTTTACATTCTTCCACACTGTGACTACAGCATTTCTTTTGTTTATATTTTTGTGTTTTGTGTAGTCCTGGGAATGCTCTACCACTAAGCTAGCAAGCAATACCAGACATGTTAAATTATTTTTACAATTGGAATGAAAGTATTGTATATTGGGAAAGTAATGTAGGGGGTGTGAATCTGATCAAAGTTAATTCTTTACATGCCCTTTATACAATTAATTTTTATGCTTAAAAAAAGAGGGAAAGAACAGTGTTGTGGAAGATGATTGTGAATGACACTAGTCAGTCCACTTGGTTTCCTAAATAAATGGCTGCTTCTGAAATTGTGTCCTTGGGACTGGTGATTGGCTGTAGCACAGGAAGTCCCTCCCACCTGTGCTAATACACATGGTGTCACCAGCCATCCTCAGGCACTGCCATGTTAAATCAGCCCTAGGGAAATGTCACAGAGCTGCATAATACAGGGGAGACTCCAGAGTCTTTACAAAGCTCTGTCTCATCATCTTTAAAATGAGAGGAAGGGCAATGTTAGTCTCAGCAAACCCGCAGAGTTCTCATTTGGTTTGTGTTTTGTTTGGCTTTGGTTACTTAATGTTTCTGTGCACTGCAGCTCTGTTCTAGTGGGTGGAGATTAAGATGCAGTAAAAGGTCAAAAGCTGGCAGACAATGAATGAATGGAGCCAAATTGGGACCTCTTCACAAACTGGCTGATAGTACCATGGCCTACATCTACCTACCATCTTCAAAGAACTAAAACCTGAGCCAAAAATAATATCATTTCCAGGAAAATAAAACTAGGCAGAAATTTACCAGAGTGACGTAAGAACAGTGTCAGGTCTCTATTTTATTTATTTTTATGGGTTCATGGATTTTTAAATAACTAGAGGAAAGCACTAGATATTTTTGGATATTTTTTTTGGAAATAGGAATTGCTCCCCGTAGCTCTCTAGAAGCCTCCATGAACAAAATGTTATAAAAAATGATCTTTATGCTTTTCATTCCCCACAAAGGTAAGAAACAGGAAATGCCAGGTCTGTGGTTCGTAGCCACCCACAATTCTTAATTTTTCCTGAGTTTTAAACATGCTTATGATCTTTAGGTAATAAAGAAGGTAGCAAAGAAATGTACACAAAGTAAAATTCTCCCACAATCCCACTACCCATGAGACTGCTCATGATGACTTTATGTGTTTACAGACACTTAAGGTTTTGTTCCATACAAATCCATCAGGAAACCAATATCTATCTAAATTTCACCCTGAAGGGTGTTCAGTGATCATGGAGCAGAAAGCCATACTCTCCCTCCCAGCCAGGCCCGCTGTCAGGGGAGTTTGCTTTCCCTGTGCTTTCCCAGCTGCAGGAGGCTAAGGTGGAGAGGATTGCTTTACACCATCACTGAAAACTTGATCCAGTCATATTTCTGCTGGTCTTCCTTGCTGGAGTTCATGTGTCATAAGCTCCAAACAACTTTGATATGTGGAGAAATATCTCTTCTCTGTGGGAGGGTGGGGTGAATTCTCTACCTTCTGTCCAAGTTTTATATGTTAAGTGGCCTGACTTTTAGCCAATTTCTATTACTTGAAACGTTGTAGAACCTGCCTCATAAGTTAGTGACATTTCTAACCACATGCACCAGGTCCTCCCACTTCCTCCAGCCCCAAGCAGTGGATAAGGTAAGGAGAATGGCCAGGCCTGCTGCCCCACCCCAGGTCACTTAGGCACTGGAAGCTTCTCCAGGCAGCCAGCTCTGTGTGGGCACCAAGCCTCACTTGGCCAACAAAGAACAATCAACACATTGTTCTCAGTCAGATCCACAGTGTTCTACCCTCTGGACCAGGCACAGGCTCCCTCTGCTCCTGGGCTACTTTGACTTTCTAATCAGTCCTTAAGTCAGGGTGCTGACATCCAGGCAGGGAGCAGAGCACAGAAGAGAGAGGACCCAAAGCAGAATGCTGCCTCCATCCCTGACCAGGCTGGTAAGACCCTCCCTGGCGCCTGTGCTCCTTCAATGTTATTTTTGAAAAATCAAGTGTGAAGTTTTGGGATTTTTTAAAAAATGTTGTCATTAGTCCTAAATATATGCCAAGCTTGTCTAGAAGGTAAACCAGCTATTCAGAATGGACGAACAGGTGAGAATTTGGAAAACTGAGCCAGGCACTGGGCATTCACTCCTGTAATCCTAGCTACTTAGGAGACTGAGATATAAGGCTCATGGTTCAAAGCCAACCCAGGCAGGAAAGTCCATGAGACTCTTATCTCCAATGAACCACCAGAAAACCAGAAGTGGTATTGAGGCTCAAAGTGGTAGAGCTCTAGCCTTGAGTGCAAAAGGTCAGGGCAGGGGGGCTGGGAAGATGGCTCAGTGGTAGAGCGCTTGCCTTACATGCATGAGGCCCTAGGTTCGATTCCTCAGCACCACATAAGCAAAAAGAAAAAAGCTGGAAGTGGCATTGTGGCTCAAGTGGTAGAACGCTAGCCTTGAGCTGAAGAGCTGAGGGACAGTGCCCAGGCCCAGAGTTCAGGCCCCACGACCAGACCCCCCCCCCCAAAAAAAGGTCAGGGGGCCAGTGCCCAGGCCCTCAGTTCAAGTCTCATAACCAACCAGCCAACCAACCAACAAACAAGAGAATTTGGAAAGCTGGTCATTTTTCATCATCTCATTTCATGATAGCATTTCCATTTTGGTTTGAAAAACAATAAGATTAACATTTCTTCCAATAAGATTGTATTATTTCTGAGAATGTAAAACCATTTCTGTTTTCATGTGAACTTACTGATCCATCATCCTTATTGAAGCAGCTTAGAACTGGAATTTAAAAAAAAAAAGACTTTGTCCTAAACAACATTTCAAAAACGACTATTGTTTTTTTTTTGCAGTCTACTTCAAAGATTTTTTTCCAACTTTAGAAATGGAATACCTAGCTATGTGACAGATACTAAAATCACACCAGAAGAGAATATTAAAAAGTACGTCTACCCAGGGTTCGAGTCCACTTAGTTCTCGTTGTTGATCTAGTTGCTCCAGAGTAAGCACCATTGTACAAACCTTCAAAGCAAAACTCTGCAGAGAGCCAGCTGTGACCCCCAGAAATAACCTGCACCCCATCAGATGGCCAGTGCAAGTCAACCTAGAGATTGGTTTTTCACTTGAAGTCAATTAACGAAAATAGTTCATTCAACAAAAAATAAAGTAAAATAATATAACGGGTTAAATTGTAACAACACCCCACTTAGAGAAATTGGCTTCCTATAGGAATTGTCAGACATTTGTAAACTGTATCAACACCTACTCTAGGGTTCGATTTTATAGAGTTTTTATGAGTTGACCCTTTCCCATCAAGTTGTTTTAGTGGGGTCCTTTGAATCATGGGCCCCAAATGAAGAAATTCATGTCCCTGGGTATCTGTCTGGCCCCTTGCCTCTCCAGCTGCCTGTGGGCGCTTCAGTTCATATTGATTTGTGTTTTCTAGACCTTTGGGGACCTCTTGTCAGAAACTAATTGAAAATTCCACCACCGGCTGCATTTCCAGGCTTTTGCCACCATGGCTTTCAGTCTATTTGAGTGCGTTTTTGGTCATTTGTTTGTTTGTTTGTTGTTGTTGTTATTAGGGTTTTATCTCTTAGGCAGCAGAGTGCTACACGCTGTGATTGTGTTCTTAATTGTTCACCAAAGCCATCTATACCGCTAGGATCAAGTTTACCGAGAAAGGCAGAAATTGTACCTCGTGGTGTTCACTGATACTGGTTAGTTTTGGTTTTGGTTTCATTTATTTCAACCTTGTTCCTAAGCTGCTTTTTTTCTCTCCCATTTTTATTAGCATCAAATAGTTGTACAAAGGTGATCCATAGCAACATGCCCACATATACGTGCAATGCACCTTGATCACACCTCTGTCATTCTCCTTCCTGCCCATCCTCCCTCCAAAATTAATGTCAACAGCTTTGTGGTTCCATTTTTCACATACATGTGTAAAGCATTTTGACCATATTAACCCTCCTTCATACTCTGTCCTTTGCCTCCCATTCATGTCCCTTCCCCAACAGCCTGTTTGATTTCCTGTCATATAGATATATGTGTGTATATATAAATATAGTTTGTATATTCTAGTTGTTTAAGAGCATTTCACCTTGGTATTTCACACATGCTTGTACAACATTTTAATTAGAAGCTTCTTTGATGACTGTCTGCCTGACTTCAGGCAAATTACTTTATTGGAAACTCTCATTTCCTCAGATGTAAAACAGAAAAGCCAATTACCTCTTTACAGTTATGAAAAAGCTAATGTTTCACATGGACCCCTTTAAAATGTGAGCGTTACCACCTCCCCTCTGCCAGAGTGGCTCTTATCAAGAAGATAAAAAATAACAAATTGTGGAAGATGTAAAGAGAACCCTTGCACCCCTGCTGTTGGGAATGTAAAATAGAGCAGACATTGTGGAAGGATATAGGGACACTTCCCAAAAATTGAAATGAGAACTACTACACAATCCAACCACCCCACTACTGGAAATATCCAAAGACAATGAAAGACATAGGCAAAAGATATATCTATACATCCATGCGAATGGCACATTCACAGCAGCCAAGATGTAGAACCCACATGTTTGTGCCAGGAGATGGTTGAATAAAGGAATCGTGGTTATAGATACAAATATATATGCTTATATATTTATATATAGTTGGGCCTTGAGAAAGGAAACCTTGTTAATGTTTATCAACACTGATGAGAGCTTGTTCATGAAATAAGCCAGGCATAGAAATCCACATCCCACATGATCAAGCTGAAGGCACAGAAGCAGAGAAGGAAATGGTGATTTCCAGGGGCCATAATGGGAGGAGGAGGAAGGAAAGATGGGGGGAGGGGTGATGATGGAAGGATGTTGGGGAAGGGGTGGGGTAGAGATGGGAATATGCCTGTCAAAGCCTATCACGTTTCAGTTATGAAGAAAGAGTTCAAGAGCCCTACTGCACATCCTGGGGACTGCAGATACCAACAATATATCACTGGTTTGAAAATGGATGAGAGAAGAGATTTTACATGTTCTCACCATACAAAAATAATTGAATATATGAGGTTAATGCATTGTTGGGTGGCTTGACTTGTCTATTCCACATGTGTGTGGGCGTCAAAGCATCATTTTGAGAACCTTAACAACATACCATTTTATCTGTCAGTCTTTTTATTTTTTTTTAATTTAATTTTATTTTTTTTGTGAACATACTGTACAGAGGGGTTACAATTACATGGGCAGGATAATGCATCAAGCATTGCAGCCTCCTCCTTTGTTTACCCTTCACATCCCTTCCCTACCTCCCCCCTCTCCCCCCACCCAGTTCCCCACCCCCCACACCAACGTTGTAAAGCTCATTTTCCACATGACCTTGTACTTCTCATTGTTGCAACAGGTCCACCTGTATCCTTAAACAACTTGTTTTTCCCCATCTCCTCCACAAGTTATACTGACATTAAATATAGTGAAAGCAGGGGTTATACTGTGGGAGAGGGACATACAAAGCAACAAAGAGATAATCTTATAAATGCGTTAGAAACAAATGCATGAAATAAAAAAGCATTAAAATACCTATCTAAGGGTTCATTTTCCTAACATCACATTATCTGACCTTTTCCGCTTGACTCATACATATACTAGATATTGCAAATAAGGGAAACCATTGGACCTATGTTTCTTTGGGCCTGGCTTACTTCACTTAATATAATTTTTCCAAGTTATCTGTCAGTCTTAAATAAACAGCTTTAATGTAAGAATCATTTGTTAAACTCTAGGGCATATAAAAGAGGGAACTAATAATAGTCTAGAGTAAAGGGACTCACATAGGATGTTTTACACATATGTTTAGGATCTGCCAATTCATTGAGGCATTAACTATGAAGAGAATGAAAAGGAAAAGAAGAAAAGGGAAAAGCTATAAGGTCAAAGAATCCGTGAATTCCAGCTTTGCTTCAAGGCTAGCCCCGTCATAAGGCAACCAAAGCTCAGGAAAGACTTGGCACTGGTGCCCCCTGGTGGACCATCCTGAGGGTGATTGTGAGTCTGATTATTTTTTACCGGTCAAAACTGTTTGCCTTTGATAAAACTAACAAAAACAACAACAAAATCCCACATGTTCATTTTTATTGCATTAAAGATCATTGTGGCTCAATTACAGGCATCTGGTATCTACGCTGACACTATAAACCATTTACAAAGCATAAATTTAAAAATATTGTAAAGCAGCATTAACAGTGGAAGTTCATGATCACCTGGAAGGGACCCTGGGCTCTGGTCACCATGAGAGCAGCCTGGGCTTGGCTTTCAGGTATTTAAAATGGACTTGATAATAGCTGCCTTGCTGCCTGTGCATTAAGAAAAAACACTGCATGCAAATATCTATTGAAATTACTGCAAGATGCAGATCCAAATGATCACAACTGAGAAATAACATATTATTGGATTTAAAAAAATCTCCCAAATGCATAGTAATACATGCCATAGGAAGCAAAATGCTTCCTGTTGCTTCTTCTGAACTCTCAAAATGATGCGGTTTGATTGTGAGAAATGAACACTGAACCCACCTGTATGGCCTGCCAGGCTGCTCGCTGTCGCACATGGATGTGATTGTGAGCCTTAACACACAGGAGATTAATGAGGCTGTGGTCAGCATAACATCACAATGTTTTATGGTAAACTCTTATTTAACTAAGTAGGGGTAACAGATTCTAATATAACAATAAGAATGATCATGTAGGAAGTGGGGCTGTGGCTCAAGTGGTAGAACACCAGCCTTGAGCGAAAAGGCTCAGAGATTGTACCCAGGCTCTTAAGTTTAAACCCCAGGACTGGTACACACAAATAGAGAATGATAATATAATTAAGAAGAAACAAATCCAAAAAAACGTGGTACCTACATACAATGGAATTTTACACAGCCATTAAAAAATAATACCATTTTCAGAGAAATGGATGAAGCTAGAGCAAATCATGGTAAGTCAAGATTAGAGAGACAAATAGTACATGTTCTGATATGCAGAAGTTGGATCTAAAACACTCTGGGATATGATAAATTACACAGGATTCTAGATGCACATCTAGAGAAATGCACACATGCACACAACAGTGCAATGCCTAAGCGCCTCTTCATGTTTATATAAAATAATACATTTAATGAAGCAAACTAAAATATAGAAACAAAAGATTAATATTTTTTCTTTTTCTGATGACTCTATATTCTTTACCTTATCTATGGTGTCTTCACAGGTACATCTTCCAGAGGGTTGGGGGAGGGTACAGAACTCGAGGAAAAGGTGCAGCAATGGAGCTCACTGGACGCTGATGAAAGTGAATTCTACAACTGGTGGGTAGAGATGAGAGGGAGGGACTGGGAGAGAGGGAGGGAACAGATGTACTCATTACCTGACTCACATAAATGTAACCCCTCTGTACATCCACTCAATAATAACAATAAAGTAAAAAAAGTAACAGTCATTTATTACCTGTTGTATTATCTTCTGTTCATAATTTTGTGGCATACTTTTATAAGACTGGAAGTAGTTTTGTTTATACCATATGGGTAATACATTGTGCTAAAACTTTGGAACTATTGTGAGTCTGGCTCCATTATTCTCTGATGGGACTAGTGTTGTGTGTGTCACCTATCGCTGGTTGAAATAAATGTTCTGTGTCTCATGATAGTGTTTTAAACTGAGTGTGTGTTTCTTCCAAGGAAAATCCCAATGATCTGGGACAGGGCATCCTTCTCTGGACCTGCTGTGATCTCAGTCCTACCAAAGTGACAAATTCCATAGCTAGAGTCCTTCAACATCTGCAGCCGTCCCTTGGATCTAACTGGAAGAAGCCTGAATTCATAATCATAAGTGCTGACACTAGACAAGAAGGAAAGCTAAAAACCAATTATCTAAGTATCCATCACAGTTACCTTGGGGCTAAATAAAGCCAGTAAAGTACAACCAAGGAGAAGGAAAGGATAGGAGCAGAAATGAATGAGATTGCAAAAAAATGCACAATAGGGATGACCACTAAAGCCAAAGACTCACTATGAAGATAAATAAAAGTGCCTGTTTTTTAGTTTTCATGTCCAAAACGAGCTTTACAACGTTGGTGCGGGGGGGGGGGGGGGGGGGGAAGGAGAAGGATTGGGATTAGGGGGGGAGGGGGGAGGCTGGGAAGGGATGTGAAGGATAAACAAAGGAGGAGGCTGCAATGCTTGGTAAGAAATGTGCGCATTATCCTGCCCATGTAACTGTAACTCCTCTGTACAGTATGTTCACAAATAAAATTAAATTAAATTAAAAAAAAAAAAAGTGCCTGTTTTTTAAAAAGGATTAAAAAAAAACAGGAAAAGGTACAAATCATTTATTAGTGATTTTCAGGGGGGAAATGGAGGTTTTTTAATTTTTTAAAATTTCTTTATTGAGATCAGGTGACTACATAAATTTCACGCTATTGTGTGATAGTGATACTTAGCTAAAGTCACAAACACATTTTAACCTTCACAAGGTGAATTGTCATTATCATGGTCTATAAAGATTGTGAACTCTACAAACATTGACAATACAACTATTTCTTCCAAATGGGGCAAGATGTACATTTCTTTAGTGTCAGCTGTTCCCTCTTTCTCTCTCATTCCCTCCCTCCATCCCTGCCCTTGAGTTGCTTAGTTCACTTTTGTCAATGACAAGTGCTGCTGATAGGCCCCTCTGCTGTATTTTATCATCTGTTTCCCTCTGATTCTGTGCCCTCCTAGCTTCCCTCAGATGTGCACATGGATATACCATATGGGATCAAGAACATAGAGTCATCTAAAAACGATATGACAAATGAAGAGGTCCTTTTGTTTCCTGAGTCTTGTTTACTTTATCATATCTTGTTTTGAATTTAACATCTGCATATCAGGGAGACCATGTGCCATTTGTCTCTCTGATCTTGGCTTTTGTTGCTCAAAATGATTTGTTGTGGTTCTATCCATTTCCTGAGAATGACATTATTTTGTTCTTTCTAATGGCTGCATAATATTCCATTGTATATATGTACCACAATTTTTGGATCCATTCATCTGTAGTGGGGCATCTGGGTTGTTTCTATAACTTAGCTATTGTGAACAGTACAGCAATGAACATGGAGGTGCATGTGTCCTTGTATCCTGGTTCCTCTTGCTAAGGGTAGATGCCCAGCAATTGGATGCCTGGGTCATCAGGAAGGTTTGTTTTGTTTTCTGAGGAACCTCCAGACTGCTTTCCAGAGTGGTTGTATTAGTTTACATTCCCACCAGCAGCGCAGTAGGGTTCCTCTTTCTCTGCATCCCCACCAACATTTGTTGCTTTCTGAATTTAAGATACAGGCCATTCTGACTGGGGTCAGGTTGTATCTCAGGGTTGGTTTTATTTGCATTTCCTTTGTGGCAATGGATGATGAACATTTCCTCATGGTTTCTTTGCCATTTTTATCTCTCTTCCTGAGAAGTATCTCTTTAGCTCACTTGCCCATTTAATGATTGGTTTGTTAGATTTGGGAAGGATTAGTTTCTTGAGTTCTCTGCCGATAATGGATATTAGGCCTGGAAATGGAGTTTTATTTTTTAAAAAAGGAATAACACCTGAGGAATTTATCACACACTTTTTGTGCACGTGTGTGTTTGTGTGGGGTATGTGCGTGGGGGCAGGGCAATACGTGTGTGTATACCAGTGCCAGTGCTTGAACTCAGAGCCTATCACTCTTGCTTGGCTCTCCTGCCCTTTGCTAGTGCTCATCCTCATGAAACACCTTTAGACCTGCACATATTATCTCAAGACTGCCCTGTTGCAGATAGATCATGACTGTTATCCCAAAGTACTGTCTCTGAGCCTCATTTTCATGGAACATAGTGAGGAGTGGAAGGTAAAGGTACTCCACAAGCACAAGCTTGTGGGGGTGATTCAAGACTATTGGGATGACACTGATCAAGATACAGTATGTTCAACTTAGTTGAAACCCCTCGTACAGCCCCTTAAAAGATAACATAAAAATACAAAAAGATTGGGGAAAGGAAGATTAGATTGGACTGTGATTTGAGGCCAGCTTGGGCATAAAAGTTTGCGTGGCTTTTAGGAGACTGTATCTCAACCAATAGCAGAGCATAGCAGTCCTCCCCTGTTATTCCTGCAACAGAATAACAATGGCTGGGCAAAATGGCAGTGCCTTTGATCCCCAACACTGATAAGTAGCAGGATAGGATCAGAGCCTATGACCTGTGTGTAGAATGAAACCCTTCCTAGAAATTTAACCAAGGCAAAAAAGGCCAGAGGCCTGGCTCAAGTGGTAGGACTCTGTCCTGAGTTCAATCCCTAGTACTTCCCTCCAAAAGAGAAGCAATTATGAAAGTTCATCCAACAATGAGCCTATTATAGGGAACTGGTTGTTAACTGATGTCTGATGGTGAGCAAGTAGACAGAGCTCTGTGCCTGTATAGGGCTTATGTTGTAGAGGGAGAGGAATTTTAGACTAGATAGATAGATAGATGATAGATAGATAGATAGATAGATAGATAGATAGATAGATAGATAGATAGATAGATAGATAGATAGATAGAAAAGCAATGATTTTTAGTAGTGGAGAGTAGGTTGTCATCTTTAACAAATGGGCAGAGTAGCATCATATGAAAGTACTTAAGGACGTCAGAAGAATCAAGTCTAGAGATAAGTGAGGGGACGTGCACTCCAGATAGACTGAGAAATGATGAGCTCATACCACATCTGTACGTGGTCTCTGTGGTTAAATTTGTGCATATAGATCCCTGCATAGCCCAGACGTGAGCCAATTATACATTAAATAAAACAAAAGCCTTGCACAATTCTATCTATGTCCATTAGGGATTTGGCGTCCCTTCCAGGTCCTCCTACCATATTGAAAGTCAGCTGGAGGACGGGTAATGTATTTTCCATTTCTCTAGTTTGGTATTGAGGTTAGTTTCCTGAACAGAAGAGAATCTCAGTGAATGTGTGTTGACTATGATGATCACATGGATATAAGAGGGAAGACCAGAACACAGAGCCACAAATCTCTTAAGTCTTATTTGGGGTGGTCTGCCTTGACAGGTCCACAGGCCTGAGCATTTATCTTCCTTTCTTTCTGTTATGTCAGCACCTAGTGGTGTTTCTAGATAAGAAATGCAAATGTATTTTTTACCTCATAGGGGCATGTGGAATTCATTTGTCATTGGATATCTTGATTCACACAGAATTGTTTTCATATATGCCTCTGTGTGTGTGTGTACATATATATGTTGATTGATTGATTTTTGTGCTGATCCTGGGGCTTGAACTTAGGCCTGAGTGCCAGCCCTTAGCTTTTTTTGCTACGGGCTGGTGCTATATCACTCTACTTCCAGTTTTCTGCTGGTTAATTGGAAATAAAAGTCTCAGGGACTTTCCTGCCCAGCATGGCTTTGAACTTGGATCTTCAGATCAGCCTCCAGATTAGCTAGGATTACAGGCATGAACTACCAGTGCCTGGCAGAAGTGTTTTGTGTGATGAACTAGCTGTAAACAAATGCACTGGCAGTGTGAATTGTGCTTCTCCACTGAGCTGCACGACTTCTCGAATACTGTCAAAGCCTGGAGGAGATGTTGGGCAGGAGCTCCATTAATGACAAATGGCTGAATATAAAAAGAGTTCAGTGTAGACTGGGATTTAATACAATTCAACTTCTGGTTTATCCAAAGGATCTTAAAGTTGCTGGCAGCTCTCCACAATATCTTTAGGAGTGAAGGGGTTAACTGCATGTGTAAACTTTATCTTTTGTCCAGTGGACTTGTGGTTTGCTTATTAATGCCTCCAGTAAATGATTGTTGGAGGCCTGTCATTGAAGCCAGAGCTAGCTGCTGCTGTTCCAAAGCCCATTGGCTCCTCTTCCAGGCAGTGTGGCATCCCCTAGCCCTGCACTCACTTCAGATCCGCTCAGCTCTTGTCTGCAAAAAGGATCTATCAGACCAGTGAACATGGATGATGCAGACTACAGAAACATCTATGACACCATCCAAAAAACGAAGATCTATGAGGCTCCCGACCAGCTGGGAGAGAATGAAAGTCCTTTGTCTGAGGCAGTCCATGGAGATGTGAGGTCAGAAGACAGTTTGTATGACGCCAAGCTAGAATACCACATCTATGATTCTGTGTCAGTCTGCGTCTCCAAGGGTGAAGAGAACAGCTTAGCCTCTGCCCAGCCAGAGGCAGAAGACTACCTCCTGCCTGATGAACTATGTCCTGAGACCCAGGAACCTGAACCAGATGAGCCGGGGGAGGACAGGTGCATCTCGGCACAAGAGTTAGAGTCACCAACGTGGGACTCAGAACTTGATGCAGGGAAGCCCTGGGACAGTGGGAGCCTGGTGAAGAAAGACCTGCCTTCTCCTTCCAGCTTCACCATCCAGCACAGCAAGGCCTTCTCCATCAGTAGGGACTCCCCTGCCAGCCACCTGGAGGCTTGGGAAGATAAGGAGACAGTTCTCACAAGCCCTGAGATCTTCCTGTTTGTCAAGGTAAGGGCGTGCGCCCATAGACAGGGTTGTGGCCGGTATCTCACCTGGCCTCTGAGGTCATGAAAGATGTTTGGTATTAGGGTCCTGGGGATTCCATCCATACTCCTGTGGTATGTTATCTCAGAATGTACTCACAATTGCTCACAATTAGCAGAATGGAGAAGTACATTGAAAGTGTGTATTTAACCATCGACATAGGCGGTACATTATTTTAAGGGTTTATCTGAGTGAGCAGGCATTGCTGCTCAAATCCTTGCCTTTGGGACAGGAGTGAAGAGTGTTTGTCTGTCTGGTTGAATTTTTTTCTTCATCAGGATCATCTTTCAAAATGAAAGTAAAGCTTCTGAGAGATAGTCAGATCCAAGATCCAGATTGGATGGGGAACTTCCTCCTGGTGTTGCTAAGTTCACAGATGCTTCAGATACAAGGCCAATAAATGCTACCTCTGTCACCGGCCTTGCCCTTTCAGCCTCAAGATAGCTGGTATTCTGATGAAGTAACCTGATTTCAATAGTGCAGTCAGATGCTAGCTGTGTGCTATGCATAATGCCTACCATCCTGAAATAAAGAGCTCGGGTGATCTCTGTATTAGACTGGTGTGGTCATACATAAGGGCATGAAAATGATCAAATGTAAAATGTGACACATAATGAGATAAATCATCCTTATTAATCAAGGTGATAGATCTCTTTTTTCCAATATCCTACTAATACATCTAACATATTTATTATAAAATGAGTGAATACTGATGTTTCTTCCTGATGAAAATAAGTACTCTGGGGCTGGGAAGGTGGCTCAGTGGTAGAGTGCTTGCCTTGCATGCATGAGGCCCTGGGTTCGATTCCTCAGCACCACATAAACAAAAAGAAAAAAGCCGGAAGTGGCGCTGTGGCTCAAGTGGTAGAGCGCTAGCCTTGAGCTGAAGAGCTGAGGGACAGCGCCCAGGCCCAGAGTTCAGGCCCCACAACCACCCCCGCCCAAAAAAAAAGACTCCTATAAAAAAGAAAAAGAAAATAAGTACTCTAGGAACTTTTTAGATACTCAGTAAGTACTCTGTGGACTCACAGGCATTCTAGTCCAAACTCTAGTCTGGCCCTTACTTTCTGGTTCCTAGTAATAATTCTTATAAAATATGCCTTGTTTACTAATTGAAAACTTTAATGTACTATATTGTGTGCTTTCTCTCTCTTAGTTGTTTTGTATATCAATTATCTCTCCCTTATCCTGTTATAAAACCTTGCTGCTGTTGTTGTACTTGTTTTGAGACACGTTGTAGACCCATCTGACCTCTAGTTGGTGATCTTCCTGCCTCCACCTCCCAAGTGCTGGATTATAGCTGTGAGCCGTTACATCCAGTTCTGTAAGATCCTTTTGAGAAGTGCCTTGCAGAGGGCTCAGTATTTTGGTGACTGCCTACACGCCTTGCCTGGTAGTATACAGAGCACTAAGAAAAAGAAGGGATGTGTAAGATATATTTTTTTGTCCTCAAGAATTTTTTTTGTTAGTGGTGGGGCTTGAACTCTGGGCCTGGGCATTATCCCTCAGTTCTTCAGCTCAAGGCTAGAGCTCTACCACTTGAGCCACAGCTCCATTTCCCATTTTCTGGTGGTTTATTGGAGATAAGAGTCTCACGGACTTTCCTGCCCAGGCTAGTTTTGAACCACAATTTGCAGATATCAGCCTCCTGAGTAACTAGGATTACAGGTGTGAACCACCCACACCCAGTGCCCTCAAGAATTTAACAGCAGCCAGGCACCAGTGGCTCACACCTGTAATCCTAGCTACTCAGGAGGCTGAGCTCTGAGGATTATTGTTCATAGCCAGTCTGAGCAGGAAAGCCCATGGGACTCTTATCTCCACAAAACTATCCAAAAGAAAGAAAGGAAGAAAGAAAAAGCTATCAGTAGAGCTGTGGTTCATGTGGTAGAATGCTAGCCTTGAGCAAAAGAAGCTCAGAACAGTACCTAGGCCCCGAGTTCAAGTCCCAGGACCAGCATACAAGGAAAGAAAGAAAGAAACAAGAGAAGGAAGGAAGGAGGGAGGAAAGGAAAGAAAGAGAACTGAACACCATAGTACAGGAGACCATGGTGCTGATTTCCTAATAATATATTTATTCTTTAATAGGGTCACAATGAAGATTGAGTAAGGTAATGTACATAAATTGCTTGGTACAGAACCTGACACCTGCTATGTGTCAATATGCAGCAGCTGAAATGATTACTTATTACAGGAATTTAAGCTTTGCACAAAAGAATTTTTATTTTGCATGCAATGCCTTGTTAGTAAACATTCCATAAATATTACTGTATTCTGCACACAGACAGAGCTCTCACTGGTCAAGGGATTTGAACAGTACTCTATAATAATTTGCTGTGACATAGCCCTGGACCCCCTTCTTCATCTCTGAAACACCATTTTCCAGCCCTTCTGGTCTTTGATTCCAAGGTACACGGCCCCAGCCAGTTCTTTATCAGTGTGCCCACATATGGAACTGCTGTCATCCACTGTGGCAAACAGGCCACAATTGCTATCTCTGCATTTGGGTGTGGTTGGGACCACGGTCATAAAACTGATACTGTCCACTCCCAACGCTCGTGGAGTACCTGACCCTTGGGAGGTATCAGTGGTTGCAGTCCACAGAGCCTGGCTCTATTAGAGCGCTCACATGCAGCCATGCACAAGCTCTTCTTGGAGCTCCTTGAGGAGATGCTAAAATTCTTCACAGAAAATGTAATATAATGCTGCCTAGAAGGCAGGTAACACACCCAAGAACTCCACTGAGTATCTCGGGGAGTCATAGCCTAGAATTTTTTTCCTAAGGAACTGACTTATGATAACTCATCTCAGCATGGTAGAAAGCGCCAGGGACTGGTCAGTCACAGTTACCACAGCAGAGGAGCCCAGTGTGGCTGTCTTGGAACCCAAGATGGGCACTCAATTCATGTGGTCTGAGAACCTTAGAATTAGAATAAGATGAAAAGCAACAATTCTACTTAAGTCAATCCTCTTAAAGACTAGTAATACATATGTTTTATAGTATATACCATGTATTCTTGCAGTAGTTGGTTATGGCTGGAGGCATGGCTCAAGGAGTACAGTTACTGTCTAGCAACAGAAGGCACTTGCATTCAAACCTCAGTACTACTGAGAGAGAGGGAGAAAGAGAAAGAAAAAGAGAGAGATGACAGGTAAGCAAATGAAAATTCATTTCCACTTGCCACTTCATGTACACTTCAGTTCCAAGATACCTAAACTCATTATTTCTAAGATTAGTCCAAGGTCCAAGTATAAAGCTTCAGGTACAATTAAGACATATATTTTTTTCAACTGACAATCTGGATACATCCAAATATTTAGGCCCTTAATCTCAGAAAGACTAAATTCTGTAGAGAGCAAGCTAGCAGTGGGATGTTGGTTTCTAGATTATCTCTGTGTATCTAGGTATTTTTTACTTTGTGGAGATGAAGGGACAATGTATGGACTTAACGCAAAGTATTAACAGCTGTTGGTTTGATATCGTTTGTGGTCAACTATGAGTCTGGGTCCAGGACAACCTGCCTGGGCTGATCCAAAGGTATATGGAAAACAGAATCCTTAAAGATCTTCCAGTTGCATAATTCTCTAAGAACGGTCTAATTTAACATCACTAATAAAGACATGTCATTGTACAAAGTAGAAAACATTCATGAGAAGACAGCAAGTCTGGGCCTGTCTCCTGGGCCCAATAATCCTTTCGTAGAACCAGGGAACAAAATAATGAGCCAGTGGAAACAGATTTCTATTCTTCTCCCAACTTCTTTTTAATTGGAGAGCTGGGAAAATACTTGAGACTGCGTTTATTGACAGCCATGCCTGGGTGCCCATGTGAACTGGTTTGCTTTGCAAATCAGTGTCACCAAAGCAAAGATGTCACAGGAACCCAACAACATATGTCTGTGGCCCTGTTTTTAAATGAGGATGACGATGTCTTTGCTGTAAGGTGATTGTGAGGATTCCTGCTGAACACACAAAGCATTTCGTGCACACCTAGCACAGAGGACATGTGTTCAATAAAATCCAGCACTATGAGAGGAACATTGAAACCTGGAAGAGGCTGATAACTTACCCAAAGCTGTCTGGAAATCACTGGCAAGTTGGGACCACGGGCCTCTTAGTACAGACACTTTCTTTTGTGTTGGCATGGTTGGTCTGGGTGCTGGCGTTTCACCAACATGGTTTAAGAAGGAAGCTCAGGAACCTTCTAGAATGTACTGAGTCACAGACATCTGGAGGGTCCTACAGGGCGTCCATGTGGGAGGGGCAGAGCGGGGGCCTTGGCCCGCTCCTTGGGTGCAGTAAGTCTTTGTGCGTCTTGAGTGGTGTGGCCCAGTCAGCCTGTGGAAAAACAACATGGTGTGACGCTCTGATCACACGTCCCCATTATCACCATCATTATTGTCGCTGACCATCGACTTCCCAAGGGATTGCAAAGAATGCACAGAGTCATCCACAGCCAGCCCGGCCACCCTGGTGCCTGCCTGTGTCACAAAATCATACAAGCTAAAACTGTTGAGCCACATCGATTCCGTGTGTCTCCTCTCCCGTGACAGTCCTGTCAATGTCGCCTCATCAACATTTTCACCCTACCTGGCCACCACTGGCCACGGCTGCCTTGACCTCAGGCGTTCACCTGCTCACTCTGCTTTCAAAACTCATCTGCTTTCCAAGAGCCTGCAGCTGGCCAGGAGAATGTTCCACAGGTGCTTTAGAGAACAACAGGACATGCCCATCCCTTCACCTGCAAGCTACGCAGGAGTTCCCACAGGAGGGACACAGGATGGAGACAAAGCACCAGAATGGCCTCATGACCCACCAGCCCTGTAACCAAGATCCACCACTGGCCAATTCATGCTGATCTGGTCTCCATGGATGTCTTATCTCTCCTTCCTACATGTGTCCTGTTCGTGACACTGGGACTTTGCACAAGCTGTTGTCTTTCCAAAGACTTCTTCTCTGAGCTA